TAGGTGACGATTCGATAGTTAATCCGCTGAATTTCCATTAAGAGAGTTAAGACTCTTATCCGTCAATCGCGACACTTTTTAGAATAAAGGGTATATCCGATAGAAATTCGTTCGTAATAATCATATTTACGGTGACGCAGAAATTTATCCGCGTTCGTCCGTAGCCGTTCTAGCCCCCCAACCCCGCAAAACGTCATCGTTGCGTAAAACGATAACGGAAGTAATTGCGGATTAACGCGTTTCCGGCGGATTTAACGCAGACTGCCGCGTTCCGACTTCGGGTTAAAACAAAAGAACGACGATCCTTCGGGCGACCCACACCACCCGCGCACCACCGCCAAGATGGCGGATTATTCGATTATTCGATTCAATTACACATCTGGAAAACCGGAACGACACATCCGATTCCGCTGAGTTCGCGGGACTTTTTACCTTTCCGCTAATTCCCCCCTCCCCGGGTCCGCTCGATCCCGTAATTTCACCGCCCCGGGGCGGCTTGAGCCGAGCAATTTTTAATAAATCGAAAGACAAACTCTCCAATCAAGATGGGAATTTAACCGTCGCAGTCGTAATACCGAAAAAATTCTTCGATAATTTCCGACGGTTTAATAGGATTTCCCTATTTATACGGGGTGCGTCAATACCGAAGGGGATAATTCTTAAGCTCATATAAAAAAAAATCACGTGAACATTCATGAAACGAAAAGTCAAATAAAATTAGTTAAAAAAGTGTATTTATAATAAACTTTTTTTACGACGCGATACGTCAGATTCGTAAATAAATTAAATACCTATTTGAGACTATGTAGCATTGTCGATGCATTAACGTAAACATTAAAAAAATATATTGTGCTTTCTGCCAAAAATAACATTGAAATGGAAATTACAGATTAACAAAAAAAAACGATAAAACTAAGTGTGGGCAAATCGCAAATCAGTGCAGAATTAAATTCTGCATCCTCCTATCCAAAAAGATTTTTTTTTTAATTTTGTATGCGATAAGTCAATCAAAATGGATTTTTTAAAAAAGCGCAATATTAAAAATCGAGGTAAATCTGTAAAAATTTTCAAAAAAAATTCGATAGCTGAGAAGCAGTTGAAAATTGGCAGGAAATTTAATGAAACGCATCATACATTTTTCATAGAAGTCCAAAAATAGAATAATACTAATAAATACTAACTTTCTATGAGGAAATCAGGAAATATGAAAACATACGGAGGAAATACGGAAAAATATTTGCGTAATGCCAGCAGATACCAGAAAATATTTTGGAAATGTTTCCTCATAGTTCAAAACAATGCAGTCCACTGAAATTTTCAGAGAGAAAACCACCTAGGGAATGCGAAAATGCCACCTTCCTATAGGGAATTAAGAAGGAAATATGAAAAATAAGTAGAATTTTAGGAGAATGTAGGGAAATACGGAGAAATAAGAGCAGATATGGAAAAATATTTGGAAGTATTTCCTTTTGGGAGATGATTTCTCCTTCGTATCGTACATTGGCTGTATTTCCTATTTATGAAATGCAAACAAAACAAAATGGAGGAAATATGGAAAAACAATAGGAAATATACAGAAATACCCAGGAATATTGCAAAATTTCGAACATGTATTGTAATCATATAAAAAGCAAGGAGATGGTGTGACCTTGAAAGTATTTTTAAATGAAAGGAAATCTCCCGGAATTTCAAAGTTTCGCTAAGCCCAAAAACTTCTAACGAACCGCCTTCGATTGGATGAAATTAATTTTCATCTTTGAACGGCTGTATTTATATGGTGGCGAAAACCGACGAAAATTACGAGATTGCTTGGCATTTTTTCGGTTATGCTCGCCGTAGACGACGATCGTAACAGTACACAGTTGAAAAAGGTGAAACTAATTTTAAACGAACGCGTAATCCGGCAACATCGCGGACGAATCGATTCCATAAACATCGCCGCTAATTGCAAACAAATACTACAAATTAAAACCGACGCGCGCGAACCGAACGGAACAAAATGAAACGCAAACACAACAAACGATATTTTGCCTAGGCCGCCGCCGCCGCGCCCGCCTCCTCCATCGGCTGCGGGTCAATTAATGTAATTGCGAGTCGATGTTTTTTGGCCGCCGCCGCCGCGGTCGGATGACCTTCGGGCTTCCGTCGCCGGACCCCCGTAATCAGCATCACCGCCCAAAATTGGTATAGTCTGACCACCGATCTATCGGACTCATTAAAAATACAAAACAGTTATCCTCGACCCAAGCTATCGTTCAAGGTGTGAAATTCATAAGAAAAACTGATTCTCACAGCTTTCTCCCTCTACAGAACTGGCGTTCTCATGTGATAAATAATTTTATTAATTTAAAATATAAATATTTTAAAAAATACAAGTTTAAGCTCACTTTTGGGAGCCTCGCTGTCCGCCCGCTACCCCGCACTAAAATCCTTGACGTCTCGACTTTTCGAACGATTATACCGCCCCTAGGGAAGATATTAATGATAAATCCGAGTCCGCTCCCCTCCTCCCAACTAGTTAACATCGCGGCGGCGGCTTCGATTTCACCAGGTAGTGTTCGCGCGCGTAATTCGTCACGCGTAATAAGAAAGACGACGCCAGAGGGGGTCACATTTATCATATGGAGCGACGGGACGTAGGGGCGTAAGCCCCCCGCCTAACCCTAGCCCAGGTCGACCGATTCCTCACCAATGAATAATAAACTTTAATTAATGTTCGGTCGAAACACAACTAAATTCACCCTGTAAAGTTATAAAAAAAATTGTTAATTTGTTTTTGTAATTTTTTTTCGCAGTCGCCTGATCATTGAGATTAAAAAAATGTGGTTTATCAGATATTCGTTAAGTCCACCTAGGAAATAAGAAGGAAATATGAAAAAATACGGAGAAATATAAGGAAATACGGAGAAATGTTTGTGTAATGCTAGCAGATACCGGAAAAATTTTGGAAATAATTCCTCCTAAAGTCCAAAAGAATGCAGTCTATTGAAAATTTCGGAGATGCAAAAATGCCTTCCTATGGGGAAATAAAAAGGAACTATGAAATAATAACGAGAATTATATGCGAATATTGGGAAATATGGAGAAATGTTTGTGTAATTGGAGCAGATATGAAAAATATTTTGAAATATTTCCCTTTAGGAGATAATTTCTCCTTCGAAAATTTCTAACACGCATCGTACACTGGCTTTATTTCCTATTTATGAAATGCAATCGGAGCAAAGTATAAAAAAATAAGTCCAAAAGAATGCAGTCCATTGAAAATTTAGGGGAGGAAACCACCTAGGAAGTGCGAAACTGCTTACCTTCCTATGGGGAAATAAGAGGGAAATATGAAAAAATTATAGGCATAATATGGACACATATTTGTGTAATACGAGCAGATATGAAAAAATATTTTCCTTTAGGAGATAATTTCTCCTTCGAAAATTTGGAACACGTATCGTTTTTCTTGTTTATGAAATACAAACCGAATAAAAGTATAAAAAAAATTGTCCAAAACAATTGAGTCCATTGAAAATTTCGGACGGGGAAGCCCGGCAATGAAATGCTTCCTTCCTATGGGGAAATAAAAGGAAATATGCAAAATACAGAGGAAATATAAAAAAATATAAGGAAATATAAAGAAATACCCAGAAATATCGGCACTAAAAGGCAAGTTTTAAAAAATGCAATCCATTGCAAATTTTAGAAGAAATACTACCTTTCTTTGGGAAAATAAGAAAACCTCGGAGGAGAGATGAAGAAAAAAAATACGGAGGAAATATGGAAAAATATAACCCCTCGGGAACACGTATTGACATGGCATCTCGATATCTATTTTGGTTAAAATGGGCGGTTTGGTTTGGGTACAAAACGCGTCGGACTTAAACGAGACATTCTGTATAATAATACCCGGCCCCTTACAGAGAGTTAATGTACCTACGATTGATATAGAAAAAACCACCAAAATAGTTTTCCACACCAGATTGTATAAAATGACGTAACCGTGCGCCACCACCACCCCGAAATCCGACCGCAAATTTCGCCATGCGTTTCGGCGGTAGTTTTCAATCACGACTCGCCGATGTGTACCGACCGACGTCGGCGTCGTCGTCATTTCTCTCACACACACAAACACACACTTTAACCCAAGTTTAATTAAATCTACGGGAAAGTTTAAACAAGGATCGGGACCCGCGGGGTGCGGGGGGAGGAAGGAGGCGATCGATCCATAACTCGTTTCGCGGTCCCTCCGCCACCCCCCGCGCGCGCAAGGAATCGGAAGAGATTTTTTTGTAATATTCAGCTACATAAAACAAAGGACATTTCGTGGAGAAATACAAAGAAAATAAGGGGAAATATTGGATGAATGAAAATATCCGATAGCTCTCAAAAACGTAACGAATATACCGGAACGCGCAAAGTGGCTCGCGACAGAGAATAATAAAGCTAACACTAGAGAGTAGGGAGTAAAAAAAAATTTTTTGTTTTTATCGTTCTGATTTTGGAATTTATAATTTTTATTATCAACGCGCATTGCATTTTAAACATGGAATGGAATGGAATTGAGGAAATATTTCGATAAAACGGGAATGTACGAGTAAATATTTAGGTAATACGGGTAAATATTTAGGGAAATAAGCAAAAATTTTGGTAATACGCGGAAATACGAGTAAATATTGGGGTAATATTGGGAAATATAGAGAAATATTTGCGTAATATGTAGATATGATTAAATGTCAGGGTAATATGAGGAAAAATGGGAAAATATAGGGAAATGCGAGGAAATATTTGGGTAATATGAGGAAATAAATATAGGAGGAAATACTGAAAAACATTCGGGTAATATGGGGAAATATAGGGAAATATTTATCTACAGTTTCCCTTTCGACAAAAACTGATAACAGTCAACAAATAACGCATTACTGTCACTTATTCAGGTAGAGTAAGCCTGTCGAAGGTTCAAAAGTAAAATGCAAACCACGATGCCAATAATCGTCCGTTTCCCTTCGTTGCAGGCGAGAAACCGTACAAGTGCTCGTGGGAGGGATGCGAGTGGCGTTTCGCGCGAAGCGACGAACTGACCCGACACTACCGCAAGCACACCGGCGCCAAACCGTTCAAGTGCCGCCACTGCGAGCGCTGCTTCAGCCGCTCGGATCACCTGGCGTTGCACATGAAGCGGCACACCTAAGGACGCCGTCGTCGTCGTCGCGGCGTCCGCCGCCGCCTCACTGCCAGTTACCGTTTTATATACTGTGTAAATATTTACTATACCCCGGCGTAAGGGACCGAACTTAGAAGACAGTGCGTGTAGTTTAGGACGTCGTCGTGTGGCGCGGGAAAAGAAAAAAGTGGCGGAGCGTGGTCTCTAGGGGCGCCCGCCCGCGCCACACTTCCGAGTGATGTTCAAATCCTGTGATCGAATGAGAAGTAAAGGGGCGAGTCCGGGGGCTCCTTTCGCCCCCGCCGCCCGTTCAAAACATACAAAAATTAAAACACTTACAGGGCGTTTTTTTATTTGTTTCCGAATATACTGTACGGTTTCGTCGTATATATATATATATATATATATATATATATATAGTGCGTAAGATATTATCGCTTCCCCGCTTCAGCGGGGAGCGGAGCGGACGAGGGCGCGCGGCTTTCGACGTCTCTCCCCCCGCCACCTCGCCCCCACGCCACCGGAAACGTGGGCGTTTTATTTTATTTTTATTATAATTTTTTATTTTTCCTCGTTTTTCTACGTAAGTTGACGTGTATCAAAATAGATTAGGAACGTCGTATCGTACGTGCAATGAGGTCGGGGGGCGGTAGCAACCGCCCCCCACCCGTCTATAGTTGGCAATTGAAATCAAAATATACGAGCGTAGATAAAATATACATTTATTATTATTATTATTATTGATTATCGTTATTGTTGCAAATCGGGAATCAAATTCCCATACGCGCGTTCGTTAACGGTAGTTCAAATGTACAAAGCGTAGGTCGCGCCTACCGAAACTGAAAGCCGGTATTCCTACGATTCGTTCGGCTGGTATGATATATAAGTCTCTATACCTCAGCAACCTGAAAGAGCTGAGAATGTTAAGGGGGAGCTTTCTACGAGAGGTACGTCGAAAAAACTTTGTCTCCTGTATTTTTGAAAAAATATATTAAACAAAGAAAATCTAGTCGGCTACTGTCACTTCTTAGGGCGTTTCCCATTTTTAGTTTCTACAGAAAATACGACTAATAACTATTTTTTAATTAATGGACCACTTTTTAATTAACTAGTCAAAAAATGTTTTAAATTACATCTTGCAACTGTAGAGTGTTAGCTATCATTATTTAATAATAAAATGTATTTATCAATCGTCAATTGACACAAAAAAATTCAACCGATCAATTCCCGAACCCTACTGGTGGACATAACGCACTACCCTTAATTTTAAACAAAGAACCAACTTCAAGTTAACAACTCATATAACAACCAAATTTATAATTTAACAACGACCAGAACGCATTCTAGTCTACTTGTTCAACTTGTCGAACGCAGTATAAAGTCTACGATATTTTTCGAAAAGAAATTTTAAATTTTTAAAAAAATATACGGGACTTTCCGTACGCAAAATCGATTTTTCGGTTGACAACAATGAAATTGTTACTCAAAAAACTATAATAATCAAACCATTAAACACCAACACCCTCTATAACCCTCAAACCGTAATAGATATCCACGTGTGGTTTTTGGCGTATTCAGAGTATTTAGCAACTAAAAATGGGTAACAAAATTCATTCAAACTTTTTGGAGATACAGGGTATTTAAGTATTAAAAAAAATGTTTTTTTCTTATTTTAGAACATATCTTCTAGATTTTACTTGATTAAGTACGAAGTATTAATGCCATATAAATAAACAAAACTATAGCATAGATAAGCGTGTTTTCGTTGAACCAGTGACGTTCGTGAGGCCGTTTTTGTTAGTTTGAAATTAAAAAAACGGCAACGATTCGTCGCATTTTTGCTAATCGCTATAGATACCACGATCAATTCTAAACGAAAATGGTCTTTCGAGAGAAAAAATTATTGCTTGCACACGCACCTAACTGGCGTACCACTTTTTTTATTATTTAATTTTAACTGTTTAAACAAAATACGGTTATATATGCTATACATTTGGCTTTCTCTCATAATAATACTAAGTTTCAGGATTTTTTTTAGAAACTTTAAAACTTTTTACTTATTTTTAACTGTCGAATACGCTGCCAATGTTTCGCCATTACAGGTAGCTCCTTTATTTTTATGGATACAAAGTTGCGGTTTTCACGAAACTAAAGTTGCTATCAATAAAATTTTTTGAAATTCGGACCGTCTTTTTTTGTAGACTATAAAATTAGTTTTCTTCTTACCGTTTCAAAAAGATATACGGAAAGCAAATAAATGACAATCTTCCAAAATAAATGTTTACTTTAGTAGAAAGCCACGAATACCAGTAATAAACAATTGAAAGTTAAATTTTGCTGACCAAGAACTACATCCCTTTTGAAGTTTTATAATAACGGTGAGTCGGCAACGTAAATATAACAAGACACAAAAAAAAAACGGTATTATTGAAAAAACAAAAGAACCCAGTTTTCAAATTGACGACCATTTTCTCCAAATGACGTTTGAAATTTTTCATAATTTTGAAATGAAATGAAACTGATTAGTATCAATCAAACGAAATACCAAAAGAACGGAAATAAGTCGACCCAAAAAATGGCCGACAATATTTGTTTTTGTTTGTTGTCATAAACAAACACCTTACTATAAAAGTGCGTACTATTATATATTTTTTAAATTGCGTTTTGCGGGACAAGTTATATAAGAGACAGTTTTCATATTTTCGATGGGTGATCTGAGCCTCGAAAGGCTATGAATATGAAAATTTTGGCGGCAACGTTAGTTTGACAAAAAAGTAATACACCGTCGCCAAAAACCTGAAAATGACAGTTTGTTGGTTACGCAGGAATACCCGCCTACGCTGATTTCGCGTTTCAATCTTCTGCTTTTTCGCGGTGCTTAGTGTTTTATATAGGAGAGAAATTGTTAGTAGTAATGACGTTAAGTTTGTCGCTCAGAATAATTTTATATATACTTATATACGATATATATATATTTATCTTTTTTTTTTGTTAAGATGCTTTTATTGCGTGTTATGGCGTTTTGGCGAGGGGGTGGGTTGGGGGGGGGGGGGTGGTGAAAATTCGCGACTGCCGCGCCCTCTTGTAGCCGAACAGGCGTAACACACTAGGCTTAGGTGTAATTATAATAATATTAATAATAATAATAATAATTAGCCAGTACGAATGTGTCAAAGTATTAACTAAAGACTGTGCGGGGGCCCGCGTCGCCCGGTAAATTTAAATAAGGTTTAGTTAAAAAGAAAACAAAAACGCGTTAAGCACAAATTGGAAAGGAGGGAGAGAGAGAGAGAGAGAGAGAGAGAGAGAGAGAGAGAGAGAGAGAGAGAGAGAGAGAGAGAGAGAGAGAGAGAGAGAGAGAGAGAGAGAGAGAGAGAGAGAGAGAGAGAGAGAGAGAGAGAGAGAGAGAGGGAGAGAGATAAACGCAAAAGTAGGCTATTTATATTTTTTCGAGAAAGTGACCTTGGAAGTTAAAATCAACAGTTTTTGAGACGTAAACAAAAAAAAATAATAATAATAAATAAATAAATAAAAGCAACGACTAAGAGCCCTGTACAAATAGTCTTAACTCGCCAGCCGCTGCATTTTCCTCTTAATACATATATGTATAATATATACATATAATACATTCATTAAATCTGTACGGTGCATTCCTGACGATGCATTCTCGGCATATACGGGGCGTGCGGCAAGTATCTTTTACGGAGCCGTTCGAAATACCGCCTTCTTTTCAAAATTACCGTGAAAAAAACTTCGTATGTCCCAAACGTTAAATTCTAATTAAATTTTGAGGTATAGTTTTCAGGAAAAAAAGTGTATATTACGTAAAAAACGACTTTTTCAGGTGCGCAACGCAATATTTTTTTAATTGAAAATATGAAATTAACTTCAAGAAAATGTCGAAAAATATTACTAAAAACAGTTGATCATTTTTCAAAATATATTGTGAGGTACAATAACAATGCAATGCGATGCGCGTGAAATCTGGCGTAACAGCTTTGTGAAATGTGTGAAATCGTTGTAATCTGTAAAATCCATGAATTTTTGGCGAACTCGTCAATAATTTCCAAAATTCTATGAAGAAAAAACTTATGCTTCAGCACGTCTCACAACATGGCCGAAGTGTGAGGGTTTCTTTATATTGATGTTATCAATGATTTTTTTTTATATTTTTCTTCAGTCTGTTCATGACTTCCAACTTATCCTCAACATCTGTACATCCACATTTGAAAAGTTTCCAGCTTGTTGAGAACCCGTAACATCGGACCATTCCCATTCTGAGCTCAATTTACTTTTATTCCTACTTCGATATTTTCTAAAACATCACGGAATATTGTCTCCGAGTATAAATTGAAAACCAACGGCGAGATGCTTTCAGTCATATTATTTCCTATTTTCACATTTGCCCTTTAACGCCAGTAGAGGTCGGCAATGATTCTCAAGTCCTCGTCATCAATTCTTGTTGTTTTTAGTATTCGAATCATTTTTTCGTGTTGTACTCGGCACAAGTTTTTATTTGTACTTGTGCTTTGTGTTTTTATGTGTTTTTTACTGAATCTAAGGCTACGTCATCATCGCTCTCTTCTTCTGGATATTCAATCTGAATTTCTTCAATGTTTCTGATGTGCCTGAAGCATATTACGGCCACTTTATAATGAAACAAAAAAAACTTTGGCTCGAGGATTTAAATACGAATTGAGGGCCTGAAACGTTACATAATATCTTACGTCTTGGAACAATGACGATACTAAAGTAAGAAAATGGGTGCGAAATAAACATTCGTAGAGACCTGTAATTATATCAGAAAAAAGCACACATTTGAGACATTTAATGATATTAGGCGACTTTCCTCTACCGTAAATAAAATTCCTATTTTATTTAAATTTAACCAATCTTACGCCATGGAAATATGATGACACTAAAGTAGTAAGGTTAAAGGTGAAGGTTAAAAAGTGGTCTTAAGAAACATAATGGCATTAAGTAAAGAAATTAATGTGCAATATGCAGAAGTTTCTTTTTTCAAAAATTAATAATAAAAAAGTTTACTGGTAGAAGCAAAAGATTTTTGAAGTTTCGGGCACACGTTCGTACGAAGTTTTTCTCTTAAAATAAGCTCAGCTTCGGTATCGAAACGTCATTAGGGAACGCCCTGCATATACGCTCGGCCCGCGAGTTACTTACAGCGCGCCCCGTACACTTTCCGCTGTATCCACTTTCCCGACCGCGCGAGCGCGAACGGTCTGCATGTCTACCCGATTTGTGAGTGAGAAATCCCTTCCGACAAAGCGACTAGGTTACGGTTTTTTCATTATTATAATTTTTTTTAATAAACGCTAGCCCGATGACGTCTAGAATCGTTGGCAGAGAGACTCGCATCGGGGAAATTTCGTAACGCCCGGCAACACCGCGACACGATGTACCGGGATCTCGATAGAACGTGAAAAGTTCCTATAATTTTATGCCCTAGGAAGAAATGGACGCCACTGGGAATTGTTATTAAAAAATTTACCCAAAGTTTCAATAATTTATTAAAAATGAAACATTAATTCGTCGTTTTTTTTTTTTCTCAAAAACAGTCGATTCTTGGATACCTTTTTATCAATTAAAGGCCCGAACTAACCAAAAATATTAAAAAAGTTATGCCTTTTTGTTTACAACTTCTTCCGTCCCCAACAAACTAAAAAACAAGCTAAGTATGTATTAAAAAGGGAATTCACTTGCCTCAAAAGAATACATTAGCTCCAAAAACCATATAATTCAAAACAATGCACCACTTTACTGACCCGATGCACAAACAAAACTGAGTACGTATTGACGATACGAAGTATCTTTATTACATAAAAGATAAGTCTTACTTTTGAAAAATACCATCAATTACGTATAAAGTTGCTCGAAATAACCCAATACGTACGAAAAAAATACAAAAATGCATTTCAATCATAATCATGTACAATGTGTCCAAATTTTCATTGTGCATCTCCTTTATCGTTAAAGTTAACGTGTAGCTGCTAGGATGATTTATGCGAAGGCGAACGCTGCCCCGGATGGCCGTTTTTTTTACGTACCATCCAGTGGCGTAGTCGGTTTTCGACGGAAACTCGCAAATTTTGATATACAAACAACAAAACTTGTGTTTTTTATGAAACCCGCTACATATGTTTTAAGTAAGTAATTTTACTAGGTTGATTTTTTTACAAATTAGTTCCCATCGAAAAGGATGTCCGCTTTTTGCTTCATTTTAAAAGATAACTTTTTGCAATCCAACAAAAAGAACAATTAAAAGATATACATATAAAAAAAGCACAAATTTGTGAGCTTCAGACGGAAACTGATTTTCACTTTTCACCTTTTCCAAAATCACCCTGTAGACGCAGTAAAACGATAAAAAAATGCGACGGGATTGAATCGATTTTTTTCTAATTTACCTTTCAAGTGCCATATACGTGAAGAAAAAAATGGAATTGATAAAACGACAAACGTTCCGGTCTCTCTGCCTCCGGGTTTGGCGTCGTCGACGTACGCGACGTACCTCATCCGCACCGACTGCGCCGTTTATCTCGCGGACCGCGGTCGCCCGCGCGCGTCTAACGTCAGCGAAATTATTATAAATCACTAGAAAAATGAATCCTAGTCGAATAAACCCTAGCTGAATCGAGATTATTGTTGATTGTATCTAAAAAAAAATGTAACCCCTAAATAATTAAACGAAAAAAAAAACGTAGTACATATACGAGGTTATGTTCGGAACGCAGCCCGCTCGGTACTATCCTATAAATAAATGTCGGTGTTTATCGTTAAATGTGTTTAGGTTTACGTTGTCGATGACAGAAACGGCAGTTCCAAGGAAAAAAATACGCGCGGACCGGTTACGTCACAAAAAACCCACCCTTCCCCCGTCCCTGCCCTTTCCACCGCCGCAATCGCGTTGTCCGTATTCCGAAGTGAACAAATTATGAATTAGTATTTTTTTTTTTGTACGCGAAATGATGATATTAAGACTGCGTAATTTAATGGAAACCATATTGTATAAATGTGTAAAATTCTAGTGATTTAAGATGATGCCGTTCGGTGTTTCTTTTTCGGTGGATTTTTGTTAGACAAAGCCCGAAGCGCGATCGGATTCCTATTCGCCGCCGGACCGTCGCTTTTTATAAATCCAAGTTATAAATACAACGTCGTACTGTTTGGGTCGAACAAGCTGTTATTTTAATTGTAGAACAAGTCGGTACAACGCGTGAACAGCTCGTATTGATAATATCAAATATGCAGCCAAGCTAAAATAATGTTTGTAAGAACGTAGTAACATTATTTATAGAACAAATTTATAAATTCAACTTTTTTCCAAGGATAATCTATAAATAAGTAATAAAACACGTTGATTTTAAGATTAGGCGCGGTACGGCGAGTTGTTCTTATAAAAACAAGGCGTATTCAAAACAGAGATGCATATAATCCATTTATTCGTACCAGACACTAAAATTTAAGACGTCGGAATTATAACTGCTTCAAAGTATAAAACGCACTCTAGCGACTTGTATTTATAACAATAACGCTAACTGCACAAATATCAGAGCATGTTACAAAGTATGAGACGAACTTATACAGCACACTCATTCATAACAGAAATGAATACTTACGAAAAGTTATAAAATAATCAAATTTCTAAGAAACACATTCGCATGTATGATACGCGCTGTGGCGACTTGTTCTTATAAAAACGCCTTTTACCGACTTGTACTTATAAAATCAACGCGCATTGTTGAAATAACGAATAACGTCTTCGTCCAAGAGTCGATCTACAGGAACTACAACGTAAAAAACGCGCTCTTGCGACTTGTATTTATAAAAACCACGCGAACTGCTCGAATAACGAGAATTGATGTACACAGACCACAAAAACGTCAGCGTCACTGGTTGTTACAACGTGCGAGACGCGCTCCGGCGACTTGTATTTATAAAAACGCGACTGGCCCGAAAACAGGTAGGATTCCCGGCGCACAATCAAACTTCCGCAATAACTTCTTACCCCACCGCGCGATTCTTCCACCCTCCGTTTGTAATCATAGCAATTATCGTATTGCGAAATTGTGTTGATGTTGCAGAACCCCCCCCCCCCCCTTCTAATAGCGATTCCAATCTTTGTACGCGTAGGTTAGTGTCTTTTTCTTAAAAACAACAACAAAAAAAACTTTTGTAATTTTTAATATGATAATGGTGATAAATTTTAGTATGTAAATAATTTATTCGACGCTGGAAAAAATTAATAAAAAAAAGAAAAAACGAAACGGTCGAAAAAAATTGAAAAAATCTTTATGTAAACTCTATATTAAAAAAATATATACATATGATCGTCCGGCCCCGGCGGGTGGGTCGTTTTAACAAATTATATTTAATATATTTCTGTTTTATTGTGAATTTATTATTATATATAAATAAATATATATATACTGAATGTTCGGCCCGTCGACGGTCGTGAATGAGCGAATGCGTGAAAGAACAAGAGTCCGAGAGAGAGAAAGGGAGATTCGTACGCTACAGCTTGTATTTCCGCTCAGTGCAAAAAATAAACGTACGTTCCTGTTAAAATTAATCGATGGTTTCATTCGCTCGACCCCCTCTTCCTCTCTCCCCCCCCCCCCACATCTTTAGTGGTGGGGCTTCCCCCGGATCGGAGGTAAAAGTTTTCCGGCTAATCGTCCAATTTACAAATCTAATACTCGTCGCGCGGCGGTGGCCGAACAAAGTGCCCGCCCCCCGGCCGCCCCCGAACAAATGGAATAAATTTGCCGGTATTGTTTGCGCAATTTTGCCCGGAACTAGTTTTCGACCGTCTCTCGCAATTCCGGGGACCGTCGTCCGTATTCGATTAAGGGCGGGTGGGGGTGCGGCGGCCCCCGCTTGGATGTTAAGAGTCCGCCGCCGCCGCCGCGACGCTCAGGGGCGGTAGTAGATTTTTTTTTGCCTCTCGAAACGTGTCTTATTTAAGGCAAGCATAAAAAAAAACTTTTTTACTCTATTATGACCCTTCACTGATAGATAAAATCTTAACTAAGAAATAATTTCAAATAACTGTTTTGTTAACTTTGTTAAAAAAAAAAGTTACGAAGTACCTATAAAAAAATCACTAACTGTGATTTAGGTTGTCGTTCTTAATCAAAAATATATTTTCTTAAAATTAGCCCTAGACCTCGTTAAATGTTGAGAGAAACGAGTTTTGTGTGAGGAAATCGCTGTTTACAAAAAAAAAGTCGCACAAAATTCAGGTTAGTCGGTGAAATATAGAGGCATGCGCGGAATTTTTATCGCAGTCGGGCCACCTAAGATCTAATAGGATACGTGTTACACCATATAACTATTACAGATAAAAATCTTCCTGACGCCGCCGCCAGAGAGAGCATCGGGCGAATACAGCGCCATCTTGTTAACGCATTATAACGACTTTTTGAAATATATCGTCGTAATATGAGCAAGTTAAAGTGGATATTCGCGTCGACTGAATTTTCAACAAACATCACAAAGAAAATTACGCAAAGAATCGACATTTTACAACCGCGATTCCTAATTTCGCTCACCTCGAACCCGTGGGGCGCCAATCCCGTCGATATCACCGATCGATATCTCCTAGCCGGCGGCACCGTCGTACCCGGGGACAGTCGAAGATTTTTCACGCAAAGCACACGGGCGACATTTCCACCGCAAAAACGCCACTTTAGCCCGATTTCCCACACAAAACGCGAAACAACTCGCAAAAACCGTTGACATGCCGACGTCCACAAAGCGTACTAAAGATGGCACCACCTATCGCGCAAAGCCACCTATTTTTGCGCGACAGCAAGATCGCTTCTTATTATAACTCCTACACATTTTCAGAATTTAATGACGTTGGCGCGAGGATTCAAGGGATTACAAAGCGGATCCCTTTTTCCGCGGCCGTCGTAGATAAAACATCGCTGCGAAACCGTTCCCCGTAGATTAATCACACGCGTTTAGTCAACGTCACCGGTTTATACATCACCCGGGGAGGGCTTAGCTCGCTCCGTGTTTTAAAGCCCCGACGACCGAGGAAAAAAAAAGGAGGAATGTCGCCGTTAAAACCTTCCCGGCGGGTTTTTTCGCCGAAACGTCGGGGCGTTTATCCGCGAGAAATGCGCGTCCATTAATTTCGTTTTTATCCCCGGCAGGCGGTGACGTCACGCGGAAACTGCGACGTTTCTCGCCCATATCCTAGTTAAATATTATCGGGTACGTGTCTAATATGTCGCCAAATTGTTGAGACGTAAACATAATCGGTTATTCGTATTTTCCGTTTATGCCAATACAATCGCGTGTGCGGGCAACCAGATATACGCCGGGCGCGGGCGCCCTCTATCGCTGCCGCCGAACCCGTAAACAAAATACCTATTACGTCACTGATATAAAAAGAAGATGGAGCGTTTTGTTTTCGCGAGCCAGAAGTCTTACGCGGCGAAAAATAAGTTGTCGCGCGCTGTGCCCGCTCCCGTCGCGTCGTAAATCGTTTTTTTCGGGCGGATCGCGATCCTAGCCTGACGAATTCGCGGTCCGACATTAATGTCATTGCGTGTCTCGGCATTTTCAAGGTTAAAAGCCTCCGCGAAGATATCGATTGCACATAGATGGTCCCAGGTGCCCGCCGGATCTTCCCGTAGCTGTGATTTGCGATCTGCGGGTACTCACCACACGCCGGGATGACGATGCAGCAGTACTGCCTCCGCTGGAACAACCACCAGCCCAACTTTATATCTGTCTTCTCTAGTCTGTTGAACAGTGAATCTCTCGTGGATGTTACGCTCGCCGCCGAAGGGAAACACCTTCAGGCGCACAAGGTGGTGCTTTCCGCTTGTAGCTCGTATTTTCAGGTGAGTCGCCACGCAATTAGGACTCATAGGTCAAACTCTGGGTTGTTTTTAGTCCCTGTTTACCGTAAACCCGTGCCAGCACCCGATCGTGATACTGAAAGACGTGAAATTCGTCGACCTGAAGACGATGGTCGACTTTATGTACTACGGCGAGGTGAACGTGAGCCAGGAACAGTTGCCGTACATCCTGAAGACGGCCGAGATGTTGAAAATCAAAGGCCTGGCCGAGATACCGGTCGATCAAACCCTTCAGAAGACCCACGGCGCGCCGGTCGAGAAGGCCGAGCTCCTCACCCCGGGCGATTCAAACTGGAGCTCAGACGGTATGCTCGCGCAGTCCTCGACGCCGTCGCCCTGTCCCCTGTCGCCCGCGAGTCGCAGGAAAAGGCTAAGGAAATCGTCCACCGGCTCTGGGTCCGGCTCGACGGAACGCCCAATAGAAGAGCAACCTGCTGACGTGATGAACGTCAACGTACTCAGCTCGGTAATCAAATCAGATCCAGGCAGTTACTCGTCGGACAACTGCGGCGCCCTGGGGCTCAAAACCAAGCAGCACAGCAGCGACTCGGAACAACTGCAGAGGGGCAGCTCCCACGAGAGCGTGGAGGGCGAGACCCTCCATCAAATCTCGCTGGTAAACTAGCACCTGCAAGTTGTTTTTTTCACGTTGAAAAGGGTTGGCTCGGTGTGTAAGGGGGGGTTTTCTTTCAGCAGGTGCCCCAGCAGCACCAGCAGCAGCCAGACATGACGACGATGCCCCACGGCATGAACGCTTCGTCGTCGGTCGACATTTCGGGGGGCGGAGCGCCGCAGACCTCGGTCGCAGGTGAGTTGCAAGGTGTTTCGAGCGAAGGCTAAGGTTCAACGGCGCCCACGGAGACGCTCTGCGGGTGAATAAACGGACGGCGTGATTCCCCCCCCGACACTTTTTCCTCCCGTTTTTTTGTCGCAACCCTTCGGCGTAGTTGGAAGCTGAGCTCAATGCGTCAAAACTACACGACTGTACGTTTGACCCATTCGACCGGAAGCCCCGGTAAACCGCGCCCCTAACTCAATTTGACCCACATCGCGAACGATATAGGTATAAATTGCGTTTCATTCTCGATATTTAGTCGATTTTCTGTTCAGTTCTTTTGACCTACCTTGTTTCGATGTGAACGGTGGAAGTGTGATTTGTCCTCCAATCGTGATTTTCTATTCAGTACGTTTGACCTACCCGACGACGTTATTCTAGGTTCCGGTAAACCTGGCGCGCGCCTACCTCAACATTCTCTTCAGTACATTCGACCTACTGCGATAATTTTAGAGCTTTAATTTGCGCTCGAATTTCGATTTTCTCATCACGACCCGCGATCCAGTGGAGATTTCGAACTATCTCGATTTCTTCTTCGGTATATTAGACATACCCGACAACGTGGCTCTAGGTTCCGGTAAACCTCAGCTTTCTTTTTAGTACATTCGAACTATTGCGACAATTTCAGGGCTTTAATTTGCGTTTCGATTTCGATTTTCTCATCAGGACTCTTGATCCAGTGGAGATTTCGAACCATCTCGATTTCTTCTTCGGTACATTTGTCCTACCCGACGTAGCCGCGTTTGCAGGCGCCCCGCGCTTGTCTTCATCCCCATTTCCGCGTCTAGTCCGTCATTCACCAGTGTCGTTGAGCTTGTAGCCTTTGTTCTCTCCCCGCCCTCCGCCCCGCCCCCGCGCTGACCGCCGTCCGTTTTTCGCCTTGCAGGCATCCAGTGGAACATCGTCGAGCAGCAGCAACAGCCACAGCAGGGTTACGCGGGGCATTTCAACGCGTGCCCGCCGCCCGAATCGGCCGCCCCCGCAGCGCCGCCCGACCCTCCGTTTAACCCCGACCCGGCGCAGGGTTACGTCGGTCAGGGGGGCGGTGGCGGCGGTGGTCCCGCGCCGATGACGCAACAAAAGCGCAAGCGCAGCGTCAACCCCCAAGCGGACGAGAATTTCATAAGGGCGCTGGAGGCGGTCCGGTTCGGCGGCATCGGGTTCTGCAAGGCGGCGCGGATGTACGGCGTGAACAATCGCACCCTGTGGCTCGAGTACAAGAAACGGGGCTACCCGAATTTCCGGCTGAGCATAAAGAATCGGAAACAGGAGGTGGCGGCGGCGTCGGGCGCCACCCCCGGTCCCGCCCAAGCGGAACCCGCGGCGTACGAGACGAAATCCCACACGGGAGGGTTCGGCGACGGGAAAACGGCCGCGGGGAGCGGCGGCGGCGGCGAGCAGATATTGTGCACGAGCCACCCGGTAGCGCTGATCAGCAGCAACTACTTCGAGGGCAAGCACGTGGATGTGGGACCGATGATGCAGCGGCCCAAGTGGGACCCGGGACTCGTTAACCCGTCCGCGGCCGGCATCAATTTCCACAATATCACGTTCGAGCATATGTGAAGCTCCGGGCGGCGCGAGGGGCGCGGCTCATAGACCGACCCGCGGTCCCGCCCATATCAGACCCCGGGGTTTCGCGCGTTTGGCCTACCGGCCGTCGCTCGCCCGCCGCCGTCCCCGTTCGTTTGAACTACTTTACCTTTTTTGAGGGTCGGAGCGTCGCGCTGCGGGCGAATCGCTTAATCTAGCACCCGAAATGACAATGTCAATTGATGAATATGAAGATAAGGGTATATTTTGTGCTGAAAATAAGAAAATAAAAGCTAAAATGGAAATTGTCCGCACTGAAACGTGAACCAAAAAATTTGCGACTAGTAAAGTCAGTAAAAACCGTTAAAGGTAACAAATTTTTCCTTTCCGTTTCACTCCTCCTTCCTCCTCAGGAATGTCAGATCTCTAATGCGTTATCTTTTATTCTTGTGAGTGCTTTTTTTTTTGTTCCCCTTCCTCTTCTTTGTAATTTGCCGAACAAGAGGCGAACTGAATTTGGTTAGTTTGGATATTTCCTATGGTTGACAGACTTTTCTTTTTTACTCCATGGTTACTAAGGGAATGTCATGTGTCTTACATAAATTTTGATTCTTCTTCGTGGCTCTCTTATGTATTTTTGTGGGTGCTTTGTTATTTCTTCTTCGTCATTTGAGGAAGAAGCGGAACTGAAGTTGATTGTCATTTAGCACTACATTTCTATACCTTGCTGTTTCACTCCTTGGTTAGTTTACTAAGGGGATACGTAATATATCATTTGATATTGTGGTTGGCTTCTTCTTCTTTCTTCTCGTCTTCCTTCGCCATTTGGTGAAGTCATTTAGAACTAGATTACTAATAAATTCTTACTTTCTTTTTCACCCCGTGGTTATTAAAGGGATATCTGAAATCTCAGATACAGCTTTTTTATTATTTTTTGTGGCTTTCTTATTTATTCTTGTGGGTGCTTTATTTTTTGCCCCACTTCGTGTTCTTCGTCATTTGAGGAGCGGTTATCTATAGATAAAAAAAATAATACTTTCTGTTTCACTCGTTGGTTCGTTTACTAAGGTGATATACAGCATTTTATATTCCCCTAATCTTCTTCGCCATTTGATGATGAAGAATAGGAGTGAACTTGACTGTCCCTTGGTTACTAAGGGTATATCTAGGATCTCCGGTTCAGCATTTTCTATTCACCGTTGTGGCTCTTCATTTTTGTGAGCCCTTTGTTATTTTTTTATGTCGCCCTTCTTCTTCTTCTACGCCGTGCCGTGAGGAAGAAACCAATTTCATTTTATGTGAGCTTGTGGGTCTTTGAATTAGCTGGGCTAGTTAACAATAACAGTATATAGCATTTAAGGGGTAATATTCTCCGATTAAAACTAAATACTACTATTTTGAAGTCTTTAATAATGGTGAAATTATTATATTATCATTGTTATACAGTGTGGCTCAAACTGGATATTTGGGTATTTATAATCTATAGAAACATCAGCTAAATGGATGCAAATTTGCCACACTACACTGCTGAGGAATGTAAATATTAAAATTTACAATTAAAAAGATGAGGAAATCAAAGTGTGATTAATTATACAGAGATGATCTGATCTTATCTCGACCAAATGGTTTTCTAATACAATCAAGTCTTAGCTGGAGCTGTTTATGTGACCGCATTTGAATGACTGGAGACAAAAATTATATTTTCGGACATGCAATTTTAATAACAAAATTATAAAATAGAAGAATTTTTGTACTGAAATGAAATAAATTATTGTACGGAAATCTTGAAAAAAAATTATACTGACGTCATTTGACCACGAAAATTTGATTAGCTGGCCATTATTTTTAATTTTGAGGTCCCATTTCAGACTTTTGTCCGCAGCGCGCCGGTACGATAGACCTACCGCGTCGCGTCCGCCATTGCATTTTTTCTATCGCCTCGTTACCGTTGATTATAATTTTTTAATATAAATTTCTATATATATATATACACACACTGACCCACACATTTATATGTTGTATAATTTTTTTGTGAACCCGAAAGCCAATAATAAACATCTAGCGTGAATCGTAGCGTCTTTCCGTAGCCTCCTAAACCTCGTTCTCGGTTCTTAATTAGATAAACCGGTCGACCAACTTCCGATGGGCACGAAACGGGGGCGGTTCCTGATGCGGCAGCGCAGGATCAAGCGCGAGAGCGATTCGGGTCAGGCGTCCGACCTGGAGCCCGCCCCCACGCTCCACTACCTCAGCGTGCCGCCGGCTAGGGTCGAGCGGCAGCATTCCGACCCGTTACCGTCGATATCGCCGCCGCCCGGCAACCTGCTCGCCGTCCCGGGGGCGGTCCTCGTCAAACAGCACTCCCACCCCTTGCTCCCGAGCCAGGTGCAGCCGGTAAGTGGGCGCGCTCCGGGGGCGGCCGGTTTTTCCCACTCTTAAATTTCAGCCGCCGTCGCCGCCACTTCACCTGGTGTCGCACGCAGCCGACACCGCCGAAAGGGCGGTCAGCCCGGTGGTGGTGGTGTCCGACCCCTACGTCCAGGACCTGTCGAGGTCGGATTCGGCCGAGGTCGCGCCGACCTCTATCCTCAGGGTGCGCACCGACGAGCTGAAGCGGAGCTCCTCGTCGCCGCAGGTACGAACGAACTACTCGCCAGCCATTTTTGGCACTTGTCGCGCGATTCTTCGACCGCAGCCCACTCGGGGGCGGGCCGATCTAGGTAGTCGGCGGCACCGCTCGCGTACAGGTCGTACACGGGCGGGGTGGCCCGGAAAAGCGGCTTCCTGTGGGCCTCCAGGAGGCGCCGGAGGCCGCCGGCGTCGGTACTGCTCTGGCTCGACGTTTCGTCCCTTATAGACACCGCGTCTTCATCGTTGACGCACGCGCCGGGCTTCCAAAACGGACCTCCGTCCTCGCCGTCTAAGACACGCTCGACCTCGTCCACGAAAAGCGACCTCAGAGGTGTTTCTCGCCTCGTCGCGTTCAACGTTCGCCGGAAATCGTCGGTAAACGCGGAGGCGGTCCCCTTGTCCGCCTCGTTCTTGCTCAGGTGGCACTCGTCGACGCTACCGTCCGAGCCGCTATCGAATTCCAACGTTTCTACCGATTCGAGCAGGTTTTCGACGCGTCTACGGTCCATTTCGGACGTGCGATCGATCAAACACCGCGGTATCGATCCGCGACGGGAGTAGTTCAAATGACCCGAAACGATTTTGAAGTTTGTGAAACTGTGCCGGTTTTTCGAGGCGATTTTAGTTTTTGAGCTCAAGCTTTTATACAAACTTTTTGTGTTAGAAACAAAGTCAGGGATCACGGATGTTAGGTATGGTCTGTTCATAGATATAAGAAGGTGACCAATTGCTTTTGAATGGGATTATACAATGCAACAAAATTATTACCTAAAGTTTCGGAATTTAAATTCAGGTAAAATTGTGGTCCGTAATAGAAAACAATTTTATACCTACCTATGTTTAATATTCTTTGGTTTAAGATTATTAGTAATCATTCTTATTTCGTGTGTAATACAGCGTGTGTTGAATCGTGTACGAATTATGCAAAATATGAAATCTGACATTTTCTCGAGTGTAGATGAAAGTGATCCAAGAGATAATACGGCGTACAATTTACCAGTTATACGAGGGACAAAGCCTGCCTACATTAGATATCTTAATTAGGAGGCTTGAAAAAGATGAAACCGGTGTTAAGTGCGGCAGAACTACCTTATGGAAGGCGAGTTTTAATGGAATCTTTTAGAATTTGAAAATGGCTGCTGGAATATCTAGAAATAATTAGGATTTACCGAGAATAACAAAGGCCAATTATTTACTAGGATGAAACTTGGTTCGATACGTATGATACCCCGGAAAAGGGTCGGGTTGACTCAACTGATAAGTGTAAAACAAACGCTCCATCAAAAAAAAAAGTAAAAGAATAACTATTTTGCATGCTGGCTCTAAAGATTGGATGGATTCCAAATGGACTCTGCGAAAAATATCAATCGTCGCACCATCGCTGATTTATTTGAAAGTTGGTTTAAAAACAAACTAGTTCCAAACATGCTTCCTAATAGCGTCATTGTAATGGACAATGCAAGATATCACAGTGGACAGATGACAAAAAGCCCTTCCTCATGTGACACAAAAGCAACAATCCAAAACTACATGTATAATTTAATAATAATTTAAGTAGGTAATAAAAATAATTTGTAATTTTATTTTAGATTCAAACATAAATACATAAATAAATAAATAAATATTGTTTAGTATCTTTCCTAACAAAACCCGAAGTAATTAAATTCTAAGCAAAGTACTTCATTCTTCCAGCTTGCCCGGGTCTTTCCTTAATTCGTATCAATTAGTCACTTTCTTGAACAGACTTTAGATGCGCAATTTGTTAATTAATCGTCGCTCCCAGCATTTTGGTGTGTTCTAACTACGAGTAGATCAAATGACCCGAAGAATTAACAGCAATCTATGATACAAACTAACTTTACTCAATGACTAGACATCGAATTTTATCGATTCATCAGTTGTTGGAGCTACAGCACTTAAGACAGCTTTTTCGACTACAGTTTTGAGAGGTTTTTGAGGCGACGCTTCAGAGAGGGATTTGGATGTTGGTTAACACGCACTCCCGATAATTGGACCTTCTCTCGAGTAGATCAAATTACCCTACGCAGTTTTCACTTTCTGTTATACGAACTAATGTTATAATCCATCATCAGTTTTTTTAGAGGAATTTTTAGGGCTTGAACTTTTAAGGTTTGAACTCGAGCTTTTAAAGCAGCTTTAATAGTAACAATGTAAGGGGTCCGGATATTACATAGAATCGCAATTTGTCAGCAAACCCCCGATAACTGGACGTTCCCTAACAACGAGTAGGTCAAATGACCCGAAGCAATAACAGCGGGATTCGCGACTTTCGTTCCTCTATACGAACTAATATTGGTAGCAAGAACTGACTGCGCAGAAGTCTTAAGTTCTTAAGCTTTATCAGTTTTTGGACTGACATTAAGTGGGTTGAACTTTATGAAGCTTTATCAGTGTTGTAGAGGGGCTTTTCAAACTTGAGCTTTTATAGGGGCTTTTAGTGCTAGAGACAATGTGGACGTTTCTTAAAAACGAATAGTTCGAATAACCCGAACAATGGCGGGATTGGTTTTCATCGAACTGTGAATACAGAAAACTAAGTACGCAGAAGATGAGCTTTTCAGCTAAAGCTGTTGGAACTGCGATCGTTAGAGCTACAGTTTTTAAAGCTGGTGTCGTGTAGGGCAGCTTCTTGAGCTCTAGCTTTTGTAAGAAACTCTCGACAACTGGGCTTGCTCTAATAAGTAGACCAAATGACCGTAAGACACAACGGTAATGCACTTGCTCTGTGATACGAACTAATGTTAGCAAAAGGGCTTAGGAGCGGCTCGTTTTATTAAGTAGGTCGAATTTTATGAAGCTTTATGTGTTTTCTTAGTGGTGTTTTTAGAACACGAGGCTCTTGGACTAAAGCTTTTAGGGGAGCTGTTTGAGGATTATTTTTAAAGTAAGAGAGAGAAAAGTTAGAGGTCCGGATGTTACTTGGAAACGTAAAATATTGATTTTACCGGCATTCCTCGTAACGGAGCGTGCTGTAACGAACAGTAGTTCAAATGACTATGTGTTTTTCTCAGAGCGGCACCCGTTCGAGCCACTGCCCGGTGATAAGACCGGGCCCCGCCCTCGGCTGCAACTACTGCTGGAATACGGTGGACACCCACGGGCGTATACTGCGACGGAAGACCAAGTACCATTGTCCGGAGTGCCAGACGAACCTGTGCATCGTGCCGTGTTTCCAGGAATACCACGAGCGGCACGCGGGCGGCTCCACGCAAACCGACCCCATCGCGCTCACCACGTCTGTTATGAAGATGTTCCCGAAGACGAGCAGCATGTAAACCAACACATACACACATACTCACATCGATCCACGGGTTGTGATATATGTTAGGGACCCTCTCGCCGGGAGGAGGGGTCCCGATTTGTTGAGAAATTTTTGTAGTAGTTCAAACGACCCGGCGCACAAATCCCGTTGTTGACGGGCACGGAAGCCCGTCTTTGTAACTTGTACCGCGATATTTAAACTTTGTGATAACGGAGGAAAAAAAATTGTCGAGCGGGGCGGTGCCGCCGCCGCCCCCCATCCCAGATCCCTGTCTAGAATTAATTGTGCCCGAGCTGTCTTTTTACTTAACCCGCGGCTTTAAATGGCGTTAGGTGTCTATATTTTTGAAACGGATGGTGATTCGAAGAGTAGTTCGTATGACCCGGCCCCTCCACGTCGACGACGTACCTGTATTTTGAAGGAGCCTCCCCCCTACCGTGACGTCGAGTGAGGAATAACGGATTTGCGAAGAATATTTATTTATGTTATACGACCGTTTTTAACATTAAAGGCATTTATTTTTTCCCGTCATCTGATTCGGCTCCCGCGACCGTCTCGGGCGCGGGTCGGAAGTTGGGAAACTGCTCCCACGGCGCAGACAGGTCGAACCTGCGGAACTCCTGTGCGAGTTCCAGCGGCTCCAGCACCACCCTCTTCTTTTCGTCGTCGTACCTAACCTGAAAATCGCAATACAATGCGGTAGGTCAAACGTACCGCGACGCTGTCCGGGTTTTAGCCGCTCCACGGAGGCGAATGTAGCAGTAATTAGAAATTCAAAAAATTGTAATGACTAATGAATCGAGCATTGGTTTAATTGAAGGCCTTTTTTAAATAGTGATAAAAATATTGCCGGAATTGCGAAAAACGGCTGCAACTTCTTACCAGCAATGAAACTTTCAAAAATTTTCAATTCGAGTTTCTCAGGTTTTATTTTCTAAAAATGATGAAAAAAATGGACGAAATAAGGACAAACATTGCCGGAAAAAATATTTCAAGGGAGGCCGCAGCAAAACACCCATGGTAACTTATGTCCTAACATGCTTCATTTCAGAGATACAGGTTTGTTTAAACAGTGGTGTTCGCGAGACCGTTTTAATTAATAATTTTGCTTAGTTTTAGTGTGCCAATGGTTTATCGCAGTTTTGTTTTTTAATTTTAATTTTATTAATTTTAAACAGCGCAATGGTATCTTAAGATTTTTCACTAAGACACGCCATTTTCGAGAAAACAAATATTTTGTTTGCATGTGCGCGAACGCCACTGGTTAAACAAAATCAAGTTTATCTATCCTATAAGTTTGAAAGCAAAATCTATCAGGGATTTTTTTTACACCTTTTGTACATGAGATACATTACAGCTTTATGGTTTACACAGTTTTTTACTTAAAAGTGTTAACGTCAAAAAAATATGGTTATTCACCTCTTTAGATGCAAAATTTCAGCTCGATAACAATCAACAAAATTCATTTGTGGTCAAACCGTTTCAAATTTAGCAAATCAACATAAATCAAATTTTGATCTGACGCAGCGTTTTCGTTCTTTTAACATTTTTTATTATTTTGTCTCGTTTCCATGCAAAAAAAAAAGATATTTAATTAGATTTAAAAAGCGTAGCAGGAGTCGCGTATATAATTTTGCATTATTGAACATTGGAGAGAATGAATTTGTGGGTATAAATAATTGGGTTTTAGTATAATTCATCTAATATTCAGTTTAAAATGTCGGAATGTGTTTCAAGTCATCCCGGGTGCTCCTCTTATTATTACCACGATATTGGTAATTTGCTTTTTTTGGTTTGTTTGCACAGGATATAGCTACGTACCTACGATCCTCTCATATCATGCTAAGTCAGAAAAAGTTAAAAATTGTAATTTTCACAATAAAATAACATGACTTACGAGAAATATCAATTTTAAAATGACATATTTTTGAAAATATAAATGAAATTACTGATTACCGCTGTCCGCAATGACAGAAATTCGATACAGATAATGTGCAAGGCAGCTACAAAAACTGCTGCCCTTAAAGCGGTTTTTCGCTACAGATCAGTATTTCCGTTGTCGATAGAGGAACGAAAATGAATGTTGAATTGAATGAATGAATTTTAATAATAAATTCGCCTCCATGCGCCCGGCGCCTCAAAAAATATCCAACTGGGGCTCTGCCTTGTACTTACCTCGACGTATCCGCTCAGCGGGAAATCCTTGCGGAACGGATGTCCTTGGAAGCCGTAATCGGTAAGGATGCGCCTCAGATCGGGGTGGTTGGCGAAAAACACGCCGTACATGTCCCAGACCTCGCGCTCGTACCAATTGGCACCTTCGTATACCTCGCACGCCGAGTCTATGGGGGTCAGCTCGTCCGTGTAGGTTTTCACGCGGATTCGCGAATTGAAACGCAGCGACAACAGATTGTATATCAGCTAAAACCGACGAAAAGGCGTCGCGGAACGGCCGGGGTTAGAAAAAACGGCTCACTTCGAATCGGTACTGCCTACTGGGCACGTCCATGGCTGCTATGTCCGCCACGTTGGTGAACTGGCATTGGTGGTGATCTTTGAGGAAAGTTAAAACGGGTATCACGCCCTCGGGAGCGATGAGGAGCTCGAGTTCGTCGCCCGCGGTCAGCTGCGCCTTTTGGACATACTTGGGCAGGCAATCGGCGACATAGACGCCGAATTCTTTGAGCTGAATACGTGCAGGCTCGTCGTGCTTCCGAGCGGTCGCTAGAAACATGCGAATCAGTCGTTTTCGCGACTCGAGTCGAGCTCCTTACGTCTCGTTTCCTCGGCCTTGGTGCTCCGGTACTTAACGAAATTGGCTGCGGCTGCAACACACGCTAAAACTGAGAATAACGCCGAGGACGTGCGATTTCCGAATACCTGCTTGCCTGAACGTCGGTTTGCACGCGTATCTTGTCAATTGTTTGAGCAGCGATGCCATTTTTAAGCGATTATTACCTAACAGGGTCGAGTAACCTCACTTTTAACGATCCGTCAACGCAGCGACGGAAAGAAGAAGCAGTCACAAAGTACCTATGAATAAAGGTCTCGCAGTTGCAATTCTATTCTCAAAGGCTTATTGTAAGCTTTTACCCGTTGAGCTTTCTCCCGGTGGAAGAATTATATATATATATTTATATATATATAAATACATTGTATTTGTTTCCGAAGTTCTGATACCTTCACAAACTAATTACCTTCGTATAGTCTGTGGTGGAAGCAGTTTTCTTTTTTTTTTAATGGTCCGAAATACAAGTGATAGTAAATGGGTTGGTACGTGACCAACAACGATCGTTTAAAAGTGGAAACGTTGAATTGGTTTATGTAGCAGTCGCCCCATAAAATTAATTGCCGTTCCAAGAAAAATTAAATTGCTATTGAAATTTTTTTACTTTTAATTATACGCTTTAAAGTAAAACGATATTTGTCGCAGGATATATTCTTGTAAAAAATAAATAGTCGAAGTCTTACTTTCATTTACTCGAAACCACCCTAATACTGACACTGCAAACACATCAAAACAGGCTAAAACGTAAAAAAACGCTCGAGATTTAAAATCTCTTTTTTAGCAGTTAATTTGGATGCTGCGTTTTTAAGACAGCAAACTGCAGGTTAGTGGGGAAATATACAGGCGTGCGCGGAAAATCATTGCCTTCTCTACGAAAATATTTATTTTTTATGCAGTATTTATCGTTTCTCACGCATAAACGGCTAACCATTTTGCACGAGTGACGTAATCGTGTTACCCAAACCGTTTCGCCCGACCGTCCTTATTTTTCACGTACTTTTTACCGTTTCTCGCGCATGCGCGGCTAGCCTTTTCACACGAGTGACGTAAGGGTGTTACCCAATTCCATTCAGCAGACTATCTTTATTTCTTACGTAGTTTTTATCGCTTCTCGCGCCTAAACGGCGGACCTTCTCGCACGGGTAACGTAAATAAACACAATAAAAAAAAAACATGATTCAATTGGTACAACTTAGACACACGTGGCGATTTCAAACTAATGTAAAATACCGGGTTACAAATAAATCATTCCCTTACTTAGAATCTTCCCTCAATATGCGAAAATAGATATTTTTAGTCTATTAAAAAAAAAAAAACAGTAAACTATCGAGCGATTACGAGTACTCCATCTCCTCGACATCTGCGTGCTCCGGCACCGCGCTATACGTTCTCCTAAGCTTGTCGTAATGTTTCTGGTCCTAAATAAACATAAAATTTAAAAAACCACCTCGCTGGGAATCGCCACTCGCTCACTTTCTCGCCGACCGACGGCCTGATCTTTTCCGACGCTTTGACGAAGTGCCTCGCGTACACCACCTCGGGTTCCGACATATCTCCCGCCACCAGATACTCTTTCAAGGCCAACAACGACGCCTCCCTGACGAGGGCGGCCAGGTCCGAGCCCGTGAAACCTTTGGTCTGTTCCGACGTACCGATCTGGACCAAATCCACCTCCGCGTCGAGCGTGGGCCGGGTGCCGTTCTGGAGGAAGGACTCGAAAGTAGTTCGAATGTCCCGTCGCTTAAATCTTACCTTCGTGAGCGCCCTGAGGATGTCGACGCGGTCTTCTCTCGAGGGCAGCCCTATGTACAAGATTTTCTCGAACCTTCCGGGTCGCAAGGCGGCGGGATCGACCAGATCCGGCCTGTTGGTGGCGGCCAAAACCATTACGCCGCCCCCGCGTTCCAATCGGTCCATCTCCGAAAGGGTCGGGTTAAGGACGCGGACCGGGCCGTCGGGTTTGGGGCACAACGCCTCGATTTCGTCGAGGAAAAGGACGCAGGGGGCGGCGCTTCGGGCGCGCTCGAAGCAGAGACGCGCCGCCCGCCTCCCGTCGCCGTGGATGCTTAACATTTCCGGTCCCTTGACGGCTAAAAAGTTGACGGAGGCGTCGCGCGCGGCCGCCTTCGCCAGCAAGGTTTTACCGCAGCCGGGCGGGCCGCAGAGCAAAACGGCCGCGGGGGCGGCGATCCGGAACCCTTCGAACTGTTTCGGATGCCTGGCTGGCGCCAGAATAGACATCTGAAGCTCCTCCTTCGCGTCTCTGAGCGCCCCGACGTCGTCCCACGCGGCGTCCGCCATCGTCGCAAATCCTTCGGTTCGAGCGCGCGACTCCACCCCCTTTAGCGCCGTATCGAAGTCGGCGGCGGCGACGCAAAGATTGCGCACGTTGGCGAAGGGGGCGGGATCTCTGAGCCACGTCTTCAGGTCTTCCAACGCGGTCGTTGGCTTCGGGTCCACCGGCATCGCAGGATCCTGGACGTCCTCGTCGACGATTATCTCCGGGTCCTCGATGACGGGGGCGGGGGCGGCGGCGTCGCCGTTGACCGCGTTCGCCTTCAGCGCCGAGGGCGACGGAGGGTCTTTCTTGTTCGCGGTGACGACCGTCTCGAAAAATAACCGCGTTTAGGCCGCGTAGGTCGAATGTACCAACACCGCAAACTGCATAAAAATTGATTCCGAGTCGTGAATAACCGCCCTAGCCGCAAATTCGCGATAGGTAGACCGAATGTACCGCCACCGAAAACGACTTCAAACCGATTTTAAGCCTTCAAAAAATTTGCGAAAATCTTGACTTGTTTTGAGAATTTGATTAATTTAAGAGAATAATTCAATATTCTATTTATTGATAAATAAATTGAACAAAATTCAGAGAAAAAAACTTTTTCTTTGCCTTCGCTAGGTATAAGGTTGGTGTATTCGTTGGGCTTTAAAATTTGAAATGTATTTTTTGTGCTTACTTTTGTTTTCCATACTGTACTCAATTCCACCACTTCTATTTGTTTTTGTAAGCTGTACAAGTGACGTAATTCTTAAGGGGCCAGTGTTGTAGGTTGTTTAACCTGTTTTTGTCCCAAAGACCAAATAAATAAATAAAGTAGGTCGGATGTACCGCCATCCGAAAACGAGTTCAAACCGATTTTAAACCATCAAAAAATTTGCAAGAACCTTAACTTGTTCTCAGTCTCACATGATTCCTTAAAGAAGACCCCCACTGCAAGACTTTTTTAATTTAATAAAGTAATTCCATAATCCATTTATTAATAAATATATGAATTGAACAAAATTAAAGAGATAAAAACTTTTTCGTTGCCTGTATAAGATTTGCTTAACCTGTTTTTGTCCCAAATAAATAAATAAACAGAGTAGGTCGACGCACCAGCACCCGAACCAACTTAAAAATCGACTTAATCCTTAAAAAATTCGCGATAACGACGGGTAGGTCGAATGTATCACCGCCGGAAACCACTTTTTGAAATGCCGCGCGTGTCCCTCGGTAGGTCAAATGTACCAAAAACGAAAATAACAAGAACGATCAGAAAACTGTTCGTTCCGGCGAGTAGTTCAAATGCGCCGCCCCTGAAACTCCGAACGGACATTTTGACGTAAAAAAAAAAAACGACGAATCGGACGAAAAGATACGTTGCGACTCACCTCGTCCACGTCATCGAGGACAACGACCGAGTCCGACGGAACATCCGCCACCTTGTCCTTGGGGGTCGCGCTCTTCGAGTCGTCGTCCACGATGATCTCGGCCTCATCTTCAGACTGCCGTTTGGTCAGCTCCAGTTGCTTGGCCTTGATCTTGAGCACACCGGCCACAGAGCGTGCCTTCTCCTCCGCCGCTTTGCTCGCTGCCGCCTTCCTAGCCGCCCCCAACACCTCGAGGGCCCTGGCGGCGGCCGCGACCGAAGCGTTCTTAATAAGGGCAGCGAGGTCCGCCCCCACGAACCCGGGGGTCCGATCCGCCAGCGATTCGTGGTCGACGTCGTCGTCGAGCGTCACGCCTGAGGTCAACACTTTGAGGATGTCGACGCGGGACTCGCGGTCGGGCATTTTAAGGGAGATTTCGACGTCGAAACGTGCAGCCCTCCTCAGCGCAGCGTCGAGGAGATCTGGGCGACTCGTGGCACCTAGGATGAGCATCGCGTCGCCATTGTTTAAGTCGTCCACGCAGTCGAATATGTAGGGCACGACCCTCTCGAGGACGTTGCACTTGGCGACGGCGTCGATGTCGTCGATGAAGAAGACGCACTGGGCGGAGCCCTGCGCGCGCCTAAACAGCTCCCCAATACGCGCGTTCGTGTCGCCCGAGACACCGTCTTCAAGCTCGGGCGCTGCCATTTTAACCATCGGCATGTTCAGTTCCTAGAAGGGAGCACGAGAGGGAGAAACTTGGCAACGCCGGAGAGGGCGACTTACCCCCGCGATGGCGTTCGCGAGGAGCGTCTTTCCGCTGCCGGGGGGACCGCTGAGAAGGATCCCCCTGGGGGGAGCGCCCCCGATCCCGCGATACAGCTCTGGGTGCTTTACGTGGAGCAGCACCTTGTAGACGTCCTCCAGCGTCTTGTCCATGCCTTGGGAAAGGCGAGATGTGATATATAAAAGAACGTGCAGCGGGTAGATCGAATGTACCGCACAAAAATTGCGTAGGTTTACAAAAAAAAAAAAACACGTTATCCCAAATCAACAAAGTTCAATTTTTAAAACAATTCTTAATATTATACCAACCGGTAGTTCAAATGTGCAAATTCCGCCCTTTTTTCCCCACCTTATTTCAAAGCGGTGGGCGAAATTGCCGCGTGCTAGATCATAAGTACACCTGTATAAAAATCAGGTTACCTCCAATATCTTTAAAAGAAAATTCAGGCTCTTGGTAGGACATCTGGTGGCTGACCTTTCTCCGTTTGTTCAACGACGTGATGGGCATGATGGTGGCCTCAAGCTTCCTCTTCTTGGACTTGTCCTGAGTCAGGGGGTCACAAGGCCTCTTTTCATAATACAACCTATTGGTAAGAAAGCCCTGTAACAAAGACGCCTCTGGCTGATTCTTGGATGTCGATGGTCCGTTGGTTTTCTTGTCATTGTGGAGGGCCTCCTCTTCTGAATCTTCGCTACTGATATCGATCAGCTCATTCTCGTCCATCTGTTTCGGTTTGATGGGCCGGCGGTTATACGGGTCCTGATTGTCCGCGCTGTTCTCGTCCTTGAACAAACCACAGTTGAACTTTGCAAAATCGCCTCTGTCAAAACTCATACGAATTTTTCATTGTCCTCGTCGCTATCTTCGCTCAGGACGTCTTCGTCAGAAGATTCGCGGTCTTCCAAGCCGTAACTCTGCAGCACAATCGAATAAGCCTTCTTCACGGAAGCACGAAACACACTTCTCTTTCGCCTCGCGTACTCTTTGTATCTCCTCTGTAAATCGTCAGCCATTTGATTGATGTCCACGTAGGTTTTATCTATGTTGGACTCCAGGTACTAAAAAACGCGCTATTATACGTGGGGAACGCGTAAGACCGCAATCGGGGTACCTTCTGTACCCTGGGTACAATACTCGGATCGGAAATGTAGGGCATCCTGCCCGTCTTCTCCGGATCGTTCTTGTTTTTGTCGTTCAACGGGATTATCTCCAAGCCCGATTTGTTGTTAATCTTTCCCATTAGACTCGATTTCGTGCTGGCGAGTGCGATATTTAACGTACCCAACACGTTACGTTCAACACAAACACAGAACGCCGCACACAACGCAATGCAGTTCGCATAGATAACGAAATTGGTTATTTCTGAGCAGAGAACGAATCTTCTAGCCGACCGCATAGGCAGTTGATACTAAACTAACCGACCATAAATTGCATTGATAGAATACGTCTTTAAATTTTATGGATAAGCAACAGTGGAGGAAGACGAAGCAGTTTAAAATATGTGGCTCCGACGATGAGAAACATTGCTTTTCTCTGCTCGGTTTGACTATAACCTTAAACATTTCAGAAGTGTCGGTTTATGTTAATTCCCCGCCACAATACCATTAGTGACTTCGGTAAGACGGTGACGTAGCCTTAAAAATGCCGTACCTGTCGGACCCGAGCATGGTGCCCAGGATAGAAAAAGTACGTGTTGGTTTAGTAATACGAGAAAGGTGTTATAAAATCGCATCCTACCACAGTATCTGGAAACCAAGCCGGTCGGGGCTCGCGTGGACTTGGACCAAATGGCCGACGACCTCCAACGCACCTACAAAGAGTACGCTAGAAGGAAACGCAGCGCGTTTAGGGTCTCCGTGAGGAAGGCTCACTCGATTATCATACAAAAGCAAGGCGTGGGCCCCGCCGAATCTTCAGACGAGGAAATCCTCGCAGAAGAGGAAGGCGAAACACGAGTTGTAAGTTTATTAATTGCGTTTTTGTCCTTCTATGATACGTTTGAACTACCGCGTACTTTCAACCAAGACCGACAACTTAATGCACAAGCAAATGATCGAGCTATATACCCGTCGCCCCCCTACGAACGATGGGGAGCTTATCGATCTCAGCAGTGGCGATTCCGATGGCGAGATCGCCAAAAGAGGTAACGGGACTCCTCAGAGGCCCTTTAACAGTAAAGTTCCCCATAAAATGGACACGTCTAGGAAAAGGAAGCTGGAGAGTCCCTCGGGTTCACTCAGAAAAAAATCCGCTTGTCCCAGTTCGTTTCGGGAGCCCACTTACACCCTCAAAGACGTGGGTGGGATGGACAAAACCCTGGAGGAGGTGTGCAGGCTTCTGCTTCACATAAAACACCCCGAGCTGTATAGGAAGTTCGGCAATACGCCACCCAGAGGTTTCCTGTTGCACGGACCGCCGGGCTGCGGCAAGACGCTGCTCGCGAACGCCATAGCGGGGGTAAACGCGGTCCCTCGTGAAACCTAACTTCACTTTGATGCGTCACTCTTGAAGGAACTCGGTGTGCCCTCGATTAACGTCGCCGCACCCGAACTTGTGGCCGGGGTATCTGGAGAGAGCGAAGAACGTATCCGGGAACTGTTCGAGAGGGCGATAGGGGCGGCGCCCTGCGTACTCTTCATTGATGAGATCGACGCGATCACGCCGAATAGGCAGAACGCGCAGAAAGAGATGGAAAGGCGGATTGTGGCGCAGCTCTTGATATGTCTCGATGGTAGGTTCTCAGCACAGAACAGTACAGAATAATATTCTTCTTGCTCTTCTTTTAGTATAATTTTTATACTGGAGACTCGCCCATTACCCACTATTACGATTTAAAATTATTTTGGTTTAAATTGTTCAAAAAGTTCTTTTGTAATGCTTTCGAACTGGAACTCTCAAATTGTATTTCTATCGAAAATAAATCGGACATTTGAATTACTAATCTGTCAGGATCAAGTTTAGGTAAAACAAATTATTTATATCGAGGTGCGAAAAAAAATATCTATTATAAATTGATGGACGTTGTAATACGTCGAGTGCGTTTGAACTACCCTCTAATATGCTCAGGCCTCGTCAAGAAACTCGCCCATTACATACCAGTAACTAATTTTATTTCCCAGAAATTAAAAGTTTGATGCACTCGATCAAGACGTGTTTGATTTTTTTTTTTTTTAATGATTACAATTTCAAATTGTTTAATTTGAACGCTCCTAAACGCTCGTTTCCATGACTACGATTCATTTGAACTACTCCACTCTTATGGGATTATCGACTTTTAATTAAATTGGTTTCCCAAACATCCATAAAATGTTTTAAACGTTTGATTTACTCGGTCAAGACGTGTTTTTTTTTTTTTAATTATTACAACTTCAAATTGCTTAATTTAAAATTTTTCCTAAATGCTCGTTTCCGTTACTACGATTCATTTGAACCACTCCAGTCTTAAGGGATTCAACAAATTCTTTATCGATGCTTTCGGACTAGAGCCGTCGAAGTGTATTCCTTTCGAAAATAAATCAGCTGTTTGAACTGCTAACCTCTAATTATCGATATCAAGCTGAAAAAATCATTTCCTTCAAACTGTAGACATGAAACCTGGCTTATTTACCCTTGCAATCTTGTAACACGTCGAGTACGTTTGGACTACCAGCCAATTGGACCAGTCCTCGGCAAGACAATCTCTGTGAACCAAATTTATTTCCCAAATATCAATAAAATATTTTAAAAGTTTGATCTAGTCGGTCAAGACGTCTTTGAGTTTTTTTTTAATGATTACAAATCATTTCCTTCGAAGTGTGAATACGTAACTTCGCTTATTTAACCTTTTAACACATCGAGTACATTTGAACTACTCGTTAATTCGCCCAGGCCTCGGTAAGAAGGAGAACGGCGACATGGTAGTGGTGATTGGGGCTACGAACCGTCCGGACTCGATCGATCCCGCCCTAAGGAGGGCGGGGCGCTTCGACCGCGAGATCTGCATGGGAATCCCAGACGCGCGGGCGCGGGTCGACATCCTGAAGGTGCTCACGGCCAAGCTACCCCTCGAACGGGGCTTCGACTACGAGAAAATCGCACGTAATACGCCCGGCTACGTTGGCGTCGATCTACTTTCCTTGACGCGGGAATCTTCCATGGTCGCCATTAACAGGTGGGCGGTTTGCCACGCCCCCACGGTGGTAAAAGTAGCGTTTTGTCCTTAGGGTGTTCAACGACATCAAAGAAAAACGCGACGACCCCGATAAGCCCATCCCCACGCCGTTGGAAGAGTTGATAGCGTGGCTTCACGACGCCACGCCCATCCCTGACGAGTACCTGCGAGATCTGACCGTCACGATGGAGGACTTCGAACGGGCCACGAAGAAGGTGCAACCGTCGGCGAAGAGGGAAGGCTTCGCCACCGTCCCGGACACGACCTGGAACGACGTCGGCTCGCTGAAGGACCTGAAGAAGAAGCTACAGATGGCTATCCTGGTAGGTCAAACGTCCCAGGTCGCGCGGCGCACTATCACGCCGGTTTTAGGTCCCGGTGCGACACCCGGAACTATGCGAGACGTTCAAGATGGACTCGGCGGCGGGTATTTTGCTGTGCGGACCTCCGGGCTGCGGCAAAACGCTGCTCGCGAAGGCCGTCGCCAACGAGGCCGGTATAAATTTCATTTCGGTCAAGGGCCCCGAACTGCTCAACATGTATTTCGGAGAGAGCGAGAGGGCGGTGCGCGTTTGCTTCGAGCGCGCCCGGAACTCCGCCCCCTGCGTCGTCTTCTTCGACGAGCTGGACGCTCTGTGCCCCAAGCGTTCGGACGCCGGCGAGAACGGCGCCGCGATGCGCGTCGTCAATCAAATGCTGACCGAAATGGACGGTCTGGAAGGTCGGAGGGGGGTGTTCGTACTCGCCGCCACCAACAGGCCCGACATCATCGACCCCGCAATGCTGAGACCCGGCCGTCTCGAGAAGGTACTCTACGTGGGGCTGCCGTCGAAACAGGATCGCGTCGACATACTGCGGACCGTCACGAAGGTGAGCTTTTGAACTACTTTCTCGATGGTTTTTATAGGTTACGCTCCGTTTCGCGGCTTTTCTTTTACGAGTCATTTGAACTATTCCAGGATTTAGTCGGGACGTTCTCTCACCAATAATAACGGGATATGTGAACTACCCTTTGGTTTTTTTGAACTACTCTTCAAATTATTTGAAATGTTCGCACTCGTTTAATTCTTACACGCCAGCTGCTTCTATTACACGGTTCAATCGGGCGTTATTCCACAAATGAGACACTTGAACTACTCATTTAGTAAATGGTTTTTTTTTTACAATAATAAAATGCTTTTTGTCTATTCTTCGATTATCATTTTCTCTGTGCATCGCGGTACATCTCCGTACCGCGATTATGAGCATTTGAACTATTCTAACTTTAAACGGTCAATGACGCGTTTGCCATTTGTACTTCTCGATTGGTCGCGGAAATTTATTGTTCAACATATGTTCACCCCGCAAACAAAATTCTGCATTGGAACTATTTTCCCCAAGCCTTTCACAGTTTCCGTACCGTTTTTGAAGTTTTTCTTTAACGAGTCACTTGAACTACTCTAGTACGGCGGCGCTATTCGAATTGTATAAAATATTTTCATTGTACTACTTTTTCAAGACTTTTCAGTTTACTTACCGTTTCGGATATTTTCCGCTTTTAAAATCGTTAAGCGAATTTTTAAAAATCTTAGGCCTTATATTTTGACACAGCGATTATGGCATGTTGTTTTTTCGTAAATATTATTCGGATTTTGCGAAATTTGAACTACTCTATCGTCTATCTTCTTTTCCTCCCAGACATTTGAACTATTCCACTTGGAAACGTTATTATCGATGTAGGATCTGAGTTCTTATTGATTCCCACATAACGTACGCGTACATTAGAACTACTCCTTAAAATTAATGGACAGGACGGAACCAGCCCGCCACTAGACTGTGACGTCGATTTGGCGCAAATCGGCGGCTCCGAGCGTACGGAAGGCTACACGGGGGCGGATCTGGCCGCCCTCGTCAGGGAGGTGTCCGCCCTCGCCCTGGAGGAGTATATGGCGGAAGGGGACGGTAGCAAACCGCGTGTGGTCGGCAACAGACACTTCGAGAGGGCGCTCGCGCAGTTAAGGCCGTCGGTTTCCGAAAAAGACCGAAAATATTACGACAAACTGAGAAAAATGTACGCGGGGGGTGCGGGGCAAAGCGCACAGTTTCTTTTACAGGAAAAATAAATGTTTTTTTTTTCTTTGCGAAATTTTATTACCAAACTGGGGGCTTAATATATATAACTCAACGGGAAAATATCACCAAGCGCGAGAAAACCGGGTTTCTCCGCAAAAAAAAGCGCTAAGGGGCTAGAATGCGACCGGGGACCCGCGCGGTACGTTTGGACTACTCGCCGGGACCCCGGGTAAAGCGAGCGTTTGACACCATGGCGTATTTACAAGCGATGACGACAGATGATAGCTGATCCTTTTGATTGAAGCTTTTTTTTGTTTAAAAAAAAAAAAGGAAACTTAAAACACCGATAACTCCTTGGGCGAACGATCGTTGCTGACGATCCAACTCGTGCCGCTTTTCGCAGTCCGCAACAGTTCCACCAGCGCCTTGCCCAGCTTTTCCGACCTAAAAAACATTAAACTAACACGACCTGTACAATAAATCATCGCGAGAAAGAGTATAAAGTCCGGTCGCTAATTGTCCAGTCTTAGAATTAGTGAATTGTGTTATTTTTTCTAGTTTTTCTTTTTTAAGGGTGATATTTACACTACATAACTAGAGACTGTGTATTTCATAGTTAAAAGCCTTGTATTTTGTGGGTTACTGTCTTTTTTTATATAATTATGGTGTGAACACTTCCTGTGTTCCTAACTATAAGGCCTTGCGGAAAAAATGTACCGTGCGTTCAATTTAATTCGCCGTAACTTTTTTTGTTTTTAGATATATCAACAAACAATGATGTAACACACTTTATATTTCAGTCCACTCGTTTTTGACAAATCGGAAAAAGTGCCCTGACTGACAAATAAAAATATGTTTTTGCGAATTTAGCTCCTTCAAAATATATATTTCCAAGGCTGGCAAAGAAATTTGCAGAAAACGGTAACGTATTGAATGCTAAAAAGGTATGCCGGAATCATAATGTTTTAAATGAAGAAAATAAGCATGTAGCACATCAAGTTTCCTCTGTATATGAAGAAACAGGTAAAGTCTGTTCATAGATACATACAATGATACTGATATATTATGTGAATAATTTTAAGTAATTTAAATAGGTAATAAAAATAATTTGTAATTTTATTTTAGATTTAAACATAAATACATACATAAGTAAATAAATATTGTTTAGTATCTTTCCTAACAAAACCCCAAATAATTAAATTCTAAGCAAAGTACGGACCTGTTCGGCCATATTTCATTCTTACAGCTTGCCCGCGTCTTTCCTTAATTCGTATCAGTCAGTCACTTTCTTATATCTATGAACAGACTTTACACTGTGGAGATAAATATAATGCATTTAAATTTCTTAAAACTCAAAAACTAAGTGCCGAACAATGTCAAAGGAGAATGCCGTTTAGTTTGGGTTTTTTAAGTAGACATAATGAGAATAATAGTTGTTTAAAAAAGTTCGTTCGCTGTAACACAAGGGTTGTAATAGACAAAATACGCGATAATGGTCTTACAAATACCCGAAATAAAAACTCAGGGGTATATTTATAGATCAAAAGTTAACTGGAGATCATTATTTGCAACTCTTGGGGTACCAAATAGAACAATATATACATATGTTTGTATGGCAGCAAGACGGTGCCCCTCAGAATGTGCTGCAAGTTAAAAATTTTCTTAAGATGGAATATCCTGGGGGTTGGATAGGGCGGCGGAACTATGGATGGGCCAGCCAACAGCACCGACTTAACTTTAATGGATTTTTTCTATTGGGGACACATAAAAAATCACGTGCAGTTAAAAGACGATCCGGAAACGTTACTAAATGCAAGACATCATATAATTAGAGTGTATGAGGAATGTGTTCAGGAAAATGGTGGCCACATACGCCACTATTTAGAATAGTTAAAGATTTTTTTACATCAGTGTGCCTTGTCATTTTTACTGTTTTTGTTTTACTTTAATTTGTAAATAATTATTGTTGCAGTCATTTAAACACATATATAATATACAGTGTGTTCCATTAAAATGATGTAGGCTACTAACCCTACATTTCGTTTTTTTGTTTACTGTTACGTCTCTAAAAACAAAAAAAGTTACAGCCAATTAAAATGTCATCACGGTCACGCACGGTACACAAATAGCTTTTGATCTAAGCAGCACAAGATGGGCTGGCAAGTTAAAATTTTTCTAATCTTATTCATTTTTAAACCTATGAAATTGAAACAACAGGAAAAGTACTAACAGCCAAGCTAAAAACTGATAGTTTTTATTTATTAATTTTATATTTATTTATTATTATTTTATTAAGCTTCTATTAAAGCTTACTGCTAGGAATAATGTAAAACACAAATAAATAAAAATACAAAAGATAAAGTCTCTATAAAAACAATGCCACCTTTAAAGGCTTCTAAAAATTAAATTTTATATTAATACCCAATAAAATGGTTTTGATATCAAAAATAGGTACAAAAATATGTTTCCTTGCATGATTTATTTTTAAAAAATAAGTAAAATTTCTAAGATATATATGTCCTACCTCTGTATTAATTGCTAGATCATTTTTACTTATTCTTTTAAATTAAAATAATATAAAACAATTAAATATTTTTTTATCCTCTTTAGTCTGTTTTTAATTTTATGAACGCCATCATGCAACCAGATACATATATCTCTTCTTAACGTGATGACTCATGCCAGATATATCCTTAATGTGATGTCTGATGTTTTAGCACTGCCGATAATACAGAAACTTATGAACTTGACAACATGGCCGCCGAACGATTGTCAATAAGTTACCCCGGTGTTTTCTCAAAATATGTCCTGACTCAAATAAATCTTCAACAAAAATTGAAGTGTTGTGCTTGTATAAATTTTTATTATTTATTTTTATTATTTATCATTTAAAATACAGCTATAGTCATAAATTCTGCAGTATTGAAACTATCAATTATTTTTATTTATTTTAGTACATAATGGTAACCATGGAAGACAAAATTGTTATTTGTTAAGTAATAAAAATGAAGCCATAGCTGTTAGAAACTATGTAAATAAATTTTCATTTTTACTCAGTGACTCAGTGATACTCAAGTGCCGCACGATATTGATGGTTCAATATGGAAGAACGAGAAAATTTAATTTGGTAGAAAGATGACGCCCCTATACTACTATTTTGATTATGTGTCTTCCAGAATATATTAGTCAAAATTGACATCGACGTGTTGTGACTCTATATAAACTTTTGCAAAAGGCGAAAATACTGTCGTAAAAATACCGCATCCGAACTTATTGACGATCTGTCAGCGGCCATCTTCGTTGTCGGATATCGCAAGGTCGAGGTTATATGGATTAACAGCGCGCGCACACAAAAAAAAAACTGCACCCACTTGATCGGAACGCAGTCTGCCGTGTCCGTCTTCCAGGCCAGCTCGTATTCACCGCTCAGGATGCGTTTGCGCGGATCCCCCGTAAGTTCGCCCTCGGTGGCAGCCGGACACAGCGAAATCACCCTGACTCCCGTCAGGTTGACGTGATACGGGTCGCCATAGCAACGCGTCAGAGCCGCCACCGCTTGCTTCGTCGCCGTGTAAACCTGCGTCAATTCAGTAACACCAACTATGTAAAGTGAACCAAAAAGAAAGGTTATGTTATTTGGTTTTTCACTTGTGGATTTTAAATAATAACATGAATTATGTGGTAAGTGAGGCTGGTACAGATGAACTTTATGGGCGTTTTGAAAATCTTATGCCTCTGGAGAAACTAAATCCAATGAGAGCAAGTGAGTGAAATCTACTGATTGCTGATGGAATCTGCTCTCAAAGCATCTAGATTTACCTGAAAACTGCGAAGTCGTATTTCATAGCACCGTTGATGATTAGCTTAATGGGGGAGAATTTCACTTCAATATAAGTCTCTTAAATAAGTTCACCTTTGGTTTTTCGTAGCACTGAAGCACGAAAAAGAAAAAAGCAGAATCAAATATAAATTTCAAAGGCAATTGCGGTTAAGGAAAAGGTATCCAGCATTATTTTTAAGTGGTAACGGACCAAGATGAATTGGAGATTGGAGAACCCCAACAAAATAAATATTAATTCCTCCAAACGTTTAATTTTTTCCAGATTTGCGAAAATTATCTGGACTTTCACACGAATCAATATTTTATCAATATCATCACCCTTCGATTTAAGATAGCCATTACGGCAGCATTTCTCTTTCTAATTCTTTTACTTTTTTGTATAACACACTGAGGCTTAAACACTAATCCAAAACGAAAATAGACAAAGCATAACCTCAAAATACTATATGTTGGCAGAACTGTCAAGTGACATTTTGAGACGTCAAATAAATTGACGAAGCCCCTCCCTAGTATAAAGCCGATATGGTTAGGCAGTTACTTCATGAATTTATTGGCGTATAACATCTTGACCGTCTCGTTTCGTTTTTTAAATAGCTCTCGACTCACCGGCAACGAAATCAGCGGGTTCTGGCAGCACGTGGAGCCCGCGTTGACGACGGTGCCGCCCGCGCCGCCCCTGTCCTTTCCCAAGAACCGGAACGCCAACAGTAGGCCCCTTATAACGCCGTTCTACCACGGAATACAATTTAGTCGTGACACAACAAACAAAGATATGACATTGCGCGTGTGGGCGGGGCCAACGCGTCGCGTGACCGACGCGGAGCTTGATTTGACGAGATTTCTAACCAAATCTCGGACTCGTAGGAACCATTGCACGTGGCGGACGTTGTTCCTGTCCGGTTCCATAAAATATAAAAATCGATTGAAATTAGTTTCTAATCCAAGGTACAACCACAACCTCTATAACCATGAATGATGCCTCTGGAAAAGCTCAAGATTTGCTCTTCAAATGCTTGCAAAAGCTGCTCAAGTAAGTTTATCGCGTGTGGGCAAAAAACTAACGCGAAAACTTTGGTATAGAACAGCTAAAAAAATCGATTTTGGAAAACCACTGAAGCATTTGCACTTATCAAGCTGATAAATTTTGGATTAGGCATTTGAAATGAAGTTTTGATAAATAAAAATAGCAACCTGCTTTTCACTCTAAACAATTATAATCAGCAATTGCACTATAAACAAGTATCGCATCCCATAAGCATCCCGCGGGAAATTCAAACTTCTAGCTCCGCGTGACGCGCCAGTTATCTGTCATATCTTTGTTGTCTCATGCAATTTAGTCAGGTTTTTCTGATATATACAACATACACGCGGCTTTGACAAGTGGCGCCCTCAGTTTGGTGATTTCTGCGACATTAAAGATGTTCACAGTAAAGGCGGGTATTTTAATATCAAAACAGTATATCGTACCAGATTGACGTCGACTTCCAGCTCCCACAGGCGATCGTTCATGACGGACGCGTTGTTAATGACGATGTCGACGCTGCCCAGCTTCGAGATCGTCTCCTGGAACGCCTCTGTCGGCAAAAATAACGATCGAGTCGATCACTAGATTAATTCAATATACAGGGTGAGGTCCAGAATAGAGTAAAGTTCATTAACTCGTTGGTTTTCAAGGTTATGAGAAAATGATAAATACAAAAGATGTAAAGGTTGTTCGAATGGATGATATCACGTCATTCTTAGGGTCACAAAAACAAAATTTGCTTTTTTATAGTAGGCCATGATCACTCTCGAAAAACAAAAATGTTGACAATCCATTGATCGCATACTCCGAACTAGCATTAAACGTTTTCTTTAGTCAAAATTAAAAAGTCAATGACGTCGTCTTATTTCTTAACCATTAACGATTAGTTTCTGCACTTTTTAAAAACATTATATTTTTAAAGACTGCTTCTGTATTGTGATGTGTATGAGTGCAGGCATCTATACAAGTCCCCTTCTGCAATACTGGATCTAATTTCTACAAGTTGGTTTGTATAACAAAAATACAATTTATGTGTGACGATCTACACCCTAAACTAAAATATTTAACTTACGAAGAAGTTTTAACGTCTTTGACTTTAGTACCAAACCAACCAAAATAGCCTATGTGTTATTCGAGGAAAAAACTGGCGAAAAACGCAGCCGCCTGAAGGGTATACAAGGGTACACAAGTCACTCGAGAAGAAAAAGAATTAGAACGCCTATGTGTTAAAAAGAAACTCAATTGTAAACCTGTAGACAAAACAAAATTGGCTGCGGCGCATAACTGACAACTGACAGCGATGTTGCCAACAGTTACGACGGTAATATCACTCGAAACGGGCAACCAAAAAAATAAACTATTTATTTATATGGAAAATACATAAAAATTAGTGATACATTATTACACGCTTATTATAATAGGCTAGGTATTATCTAGATTTATTACACAGAGATATCCACATGCGCACATCATGCAAACTACCTTTTCTCCGTGAGGGCTTTCTCACTGTTCTATGGTTACAATCGACTCACCTTCGAACTGCAGGTAGTCTGTGACGTCGCAAGCGCAAAATATCGCTCGCTCTTTGCCCGCTTTCGACAGTTGGTGCAGCAGCTCTTCGCCGGCATCCGAATTTATGTCGCAAATCGAAACCTGCATTTCATTTAGCATTTAACTAACCGTGCTATTTTATGACGTCACAGAACAAAGAGATTTTTTTAACCGTCGGAATAATTACCTTACAGCCCTGGGAAAACAGCTCCTTGCAGTATTCCCGGCCGTGGCCCGAGGCGCCGCCCGTAACCAAGGCCACTTTCCCCTTTAAATCCATCTTCTCGCCGTCTAATTTTACACCCCCACGTCCTACAAACTACCGCCGTCGACTGATTTTTCCGAACAGACACGGAGGTATTTTTAGCCGCACGCGGGTGACTCAGACCGCACCCTACGACGCCGAGACGCGGAAAGGGTTACTCAGACGTCGCGGCGTCGCCGGTCGTCAAAACAACCTCTGGATTATGCACGGCGCGACGCGGGCGTTCCCGAACGGCGGCTCGAGCGAATTATTTATCGCCGAAAAGCCAAATCTCGATCGGAGGTGCAGCTTAAAAAACCGCCGCGATTTTGTGAATATAATAACAATTCAAGTATGCAACCAATTAAACGCGAATCGATAGGGCGTTGTTGGCCGTGGCCGCCACAGATGCCGCGCGTTACGTCGCCGATCGCGCGCAGATGGCGCCCGCGTCGTCTCGCGGCGTTGCCGCGTTTCGCGAATCGACGCGAGAACAACCGACTAGCGGCGGGAATAAATATTTTCTTGGGAAAAACTGATTTTTAGAAAACGGGAATGTGTTACGTTAACCGTTTTCAATAATATTGAATATATAGAATAGAAATTTGAGTTTAGTTACGTTACTAGTTTTTTGTTGATTTTAGCTTAAAAAGTTTGTCCACAACTACCGTTCCTAATTACAAGCAAAAATAATAAATATTTCTCACTTTGATATATGAATATATATATTAACCACACGGGTAAATTTGCGGAGATTTTTTTTTTTGCTAAAACTACTGGCTTGAACGAAAATCCTATCGGATATTTTGGTGTTCAGCTAACAACTATAGCTTTATGTAAAAAAAAGGCAACTAATTTTGTTAGGTATTTTTCGGAAATTTCTTCTCTCTTTATGTCAGTCACAGGCGGAGATTTTATCGACATTGACATTAGAGGCTCAGGAAACTAATTAATGGCGTTTTACTTGTTTGTGTAATGTCGAGTCAGTGTTTGAGACATGTTATTAATATGGACGAGTTCTCATATTGGCAAGGAATGTCGCCAACGGAATGTTTCGGTCCACCGCGAGACTGGTTCCTCGGTTAGAAAGCGAGTAGAAGCGGCAACGCCGCCGGCATATTCACCATGTTTAACGTTCTCCGTGTCGAGCGGTACGCGTCGAGGCTCTCGAGGAATGTCAAAAGTTGTTTTAGTTCAGTGAAAAAAAGCAAGTCGTTCGGGTTTTGATGCGGACTATGTGCATGTCGTTGGGGCCGCGACCCGTAAGACTGTGCGTGTTGTGTGTGACGATCGGGCGCGTGGCTAGAAGAGGACCGACGGGCGCAGCTCCGGAGAGTAAATAATCGTCTCGGGGCCCCGGTCGCAGTCTCTACCAGTAAGTGCTTGACGTTTAAGGCGTATCGAGTAAGCACGGACGGACGCGCCTCGTTTACACAGGTGCTTCGTCGGTAGGCGTGCTCTTGCGTACTTTTCAGCCATTTAAAGTAAAATCCGGTTAAAAGGCGAGGATAATATTTGTGTTGTGGACGAAGGCGGGGCGCGTGCGCGCCGTCACGCGAGAGAAAAAAAAACGTTGATATCGAAAATAGAACGTCGAACAAGTGCCGCGAAACTTTGATTTGTGGGGCGCGTTTCGAAAATACGTGACGAAAACGTCTCGGTCCGTCGCCCATTTTTAGGTTAGCGTAGGAAAAGGCGCCCCGCGTGTCGAACCGTAACCCAAATACAGTCTCGGCCGAGATTCTTCGGTTAACGATATTCGTCGTGCGTTTTTACTTTCGGCAACAAAATGGCCGTTAACAACTCGCGTTTTGTCTCTACCGGCGATCGCAGTTGCGTTGGAAAAGTAGACAACCCTTTCTCGACTCGTTGTGGGTTATCGTGTTTACAATTCACAATCCAGAATAGCGACGAAGCAATGTGTAACTGTTGAGTAATTTTAGTGGGTGGATGTTATATATTGGGCGGCGTTGCCGCCTTTCGCAAAACAATCTCGGGTTTGTTAAAGGGGCCGTACGCGTGACGTTGCCAAGTGAGCGACGGATCTTGACCTTGTGCAATTATCGTGTCGGTAAACGTTCGGGCGTAAAAAAAGGTTTTCGTGAACGGAAAAATTCGCTGTCCCCTGGATCGTAGATAATAGATAATTATTTCTCAAATTTATTTTCTATTTGCCTTTTTAATTGAATTTTTTTTATCTACATAAAATTCACACTTATTGGAATGTCTAACGTTGCTTCTCTGAAACTGGCAATGCACTGTCGCACTTTTTGAAAAAAAAGTGAATCTTTGTATGTTATTTTCACTTACTAGTTTTTGAATTAATGGGGAATGCAAAAATCTAGTATTTTAATAATTATTAAAATTTATTTCTAAAATATACATAATTAAAATTGAAGAAAAAGAAAAACATGTTTTATTTATTAAATTGATATTTATTCATTTAACGTTGAAACTGCCAGTGCACTTTATATATTATTTTTACTTTATAGCTTTTATTTGTTAAATGTCTTAAGCACGGCTTTTTCTATAAAGAAAATTACGTAATTAAAATTGAAAGAGAAGAAAAAATAAAATAGCATTTTTATTTTTGAATGAAGTGAAGTGTTTTATATTATTTTTACTTAATTGTTTTTCAATTACTGCGGAATTTCAAAAATCGAGAATATTAATAATAATTAAAATTTATTAAATGCCTTAAGCATACCCCTTTCTAAAAAGAAAATTACGTAATAATTTAATAATAATAATTTAAAATTTCACGCGGATAGGCCCGCCGAGAACAGTGTAACCACAATTTTTTTAATGTACGTTGTAGTTGCCACATCAGGTTGACGTTTCCGGAGAGTTACCCTGTATATGACGGAGTATTTTTCTTACATAGGAAACAAACATACAAAATTTATTTAACTTCTAAATTTTGAAAAATATTTTATTTTTTCAAAAATTTACGGACCTAGTTATTAGTTTATTTACCCATTTAATAATTCATTTAATTGTTTTTTTTTAATAATACGGACATTAAAACAACTCATGATATTTTTTGAACAGAGCTTTTAAAATAGCATATTTTTGATACACATTTTTAATATAATAATCTTTAATTTATTAATTTGTTTTCAAATTCACTTTTACTGCTGAGTTTTTTCGAAAATTCAAAGTTCGCAAGCAACTTAAACACTAACTTTCTCTCTACTTGCCACTCTCGGGACCCGTGACAATCATCTACGTGTATACTAAGTTTTAAACTTTAATAATGATCTATAACCCTCCCGCTTTAGGAAACAGAGTATAGTAGGGGGTGTTGCAACAAGATAGTAACAAAGTGTAGTAATTACACTAAAAAAATCATTACCCGGACTTTTTTTAAGTAACGTAATATTAAAGTCTAAAGTTTATTGTTCCAGATAACGAATTATCTGCGCCAGATTGGGGCTTACGTAATAATTTAAAACGGAATAATAATATTTTTTATTGTTCTGTTAAATTTAGAACGGAGCAGTATTTTGATTTTGGGCCGCCGTGCCAGTGAAGATGGCGACGTTTAACCGGAAATTCCATTGTTAAAAGTGGTTTTTATCTTCTAATTTGATGCGATAAACTTGCAACTTTGTACAGGGAGTTGAACAATTTAGTCCGGGTGGTATTTTACGCTATTTTATGGTTTCCACTTCATTAGGTTGCTTGTTTTTGTAATTTTTTTGATTTTTTGATCATAAAACAATAAGTAAATTAATACGTGGAAAGTATTTAAAAAAATAAGACAAACATAATGATATACAGTTTATGCTGCTGCATTTTCGTTGTAGAGTTTGAACAAAAATACTAAATTTTACCCCTTTTTCTATTCCCATCCTGTTCCTTACCTGAGTGTAAGAAACTGAAAGCGCTGAAAGTGATGTCCCCCACTATATTCCATGTGCGTTTGTTATTATTTCATCCGAAAACGTAATTCGTTTAAATGGCCAATGGCTGACAGTTAACTTTATTACTAATTACTACAATATTTCCATATAAATTATTAATTGTTTCGAAAACCGGATTCTTTTCTTCATATGCTTTTGAGGGTTCAACATATAGGCTATAAAATGATATGGCGTGAGTAAAGTCTGTTCATAGATATAAGAAAGTGACTAACTGATACGAATTAAGGACAGAACCGGGCAAGCTGTAAGAATGAAACATGGCCGAACAGGTCCGTACTTTGCTTAGAATTTAATTATTTGGGGTTTTGTTAGGAAAGATACTAAACTAAAATTATTTTTATTACTTAAATTACTTAAAATTATATCACATAATAGATCAGTGGGACTATCGCTATCATCGCCTGTTCTAATTATTATTTGTTCTATATTATTTGCAATATGGATATACGATTGTTCTGCTTTTTCTATATGCTTAACAGAATTTGCCCAACTTTGTGGAGGGATGTTTTAAAAACTTCGGTTTCTATAAGTTTGAGGGCATTCGAGTTAACACGGGGAAAAACATTGTTACGACGAGTGGCAGATTTCAGTTGGTTAGTTTTGGTTGGTTTTATAGGTTCAAGCTTTGTAGAACCTCAATTAATTGCTTTTTGGTATAATCTTTGTGAAAATAGTAATGTATAGAAGAGCGGATGAGGCTTCTTTCACAACAGCAGTATTTAATAGGAAGAATAAACATTTTTGGTCCACCCATCATCGACACAAAATGCAGGCAGTGAAAATCCAAGGACGGACGTCAGTTAATGTATGGTTGTGTTATGTTGAACAATATGGTGGTCGGACCAATTATATGCGAAGGATCCTCGAATGGCCAACTATATTTAAATTTCCTTGCAACAGAAATAGGACAGTTGTTAGAAAATGTGCCAGTTAGGAAATAGGCATCAAGATAATGTGCAACCGATTACCGATTATCTAAATAATAGATATAGGCTTTGGATAGGTAGGCAAGGAACTATCAAATGGCCTGCCAACAGCTCCGACCTGAATCCTTGTGACATTTTTTTTTGTGGGGATACTAAAAAAATAAAATTTATTTTAATAGACCTGAAAGTTTACAAGACCTAATATCGTTTTACAAGATCTAATAGAAAATAATGGAGATTACGCGGAAAATGTTTAGCATTAATTATTAATATTCTTATTGTTTGAATATTATAATTTTATTATCGGGCGTTTTTCTTCCACAGAACCCATTTGAAATATCTTAAATTATTTAACCCATATTATCCCAAGCATAAAAAAAAAATAAAAAAATACTTTTTTGCTCTGAAATTAGTTATTTTGTTGCCCTTAAGAATACATTTTCCAGTTTTTCCAGAAAGACTATTTTTTAGTTCCTCACATGATCTAAATTCATCGGATATATGTCTGTGAGTGTACTCAATCTGACCTTTCTTCCATTTGACAGTAGAAGCAAGCCTGTCGTTTGAATTCCACTGTTTCATCATCTGATGAGTCCCATTCAGGTTCAGTAGTTGATGAATTACAGGACTGTTGAAGGACAGCTGTATCCTTCGGTGTATGTAACTCGAAAGTTCTAACTATGTCAGTTTTTTCCCCAAACTCTTGTAGATTTATGTTATCGTTCGTATTTTCTTCGTCAGTCAAGGTATCCACGTCGGGTGGAATGTAGACCGCGTCAATATGTTCTGTAAATATTTTTTCACGTTATTTTTAGCATAAATTTATAAGGAATTGAATGCTACAATACATACGTAAATCCAAATAATACTTTCATTGTTATTGTCCTCATCCATCACTATCTCCTCTATAGCCGCCTCTAATTCCTTTTGAGTCAAATACCTCGGAAATGCCATATTTAACGAACTGTAACGTTCACTGCACAAGGCACAAACTAATATTAAAGAACACGCTAATCGTTGGATGTTTATTCTACACGCGCTGACTTGTCTAGACTTGCAATAACAAAGTTTTGTTTCACAGATAAAACCAGTAGTGCATTCACGCACCAGTAAATATTTTCAAAAAATAAATCTACGATGTAATCTAGATGCTATAGACTTTACAAAAATGGCAATACAAATCCAAAATATATTTTTTTTCTATTTTAGGTAAAACATTGTTAGAACAATCGCAAACATAGATAATGCGGTTGCTATCAAGGCAGACGTGACCATTTTTAAACAATAATATGTAGGGCATTGAATTTAAAAAAAAAGACGCTGCTGTCATTTTGACAGCTACCGATCGTCGTTTGTTTACCCGACATTTGCATAAGATAATCTTTAAACTTTTGTATTTATACCTTTCTTCTATCTTTCAAAATTAACAGCGTAGGTGGGTGTCAAAATATAATGAATATCCCAGTACAGTATTCGGCAAACTTGGATTTTGATTGATTTTTTTTTAATTTCATCATATTTCCCGTTTTTTTTTTAATAGCAATTACAAAATATTTTAAAGCCCCTTTAAACAAAATATAGTGTAAATTGTCGTTGTCGAATACATCTGGCGTGTTTAGGTGGCGATTTGTCAAAGCACTGGAACTAGGGGCATTACATTAAAACAACAGATCCAAATAAATCTGGCTGTAGAGCTAGAAGGAATATATTCAAGGCATAGTTCAAAGACTTAAAACAAACCATGATGTTTGTGAGGCGAGCGTCAAAATATAATGATTAACTCTGTATATTTCGACCAAAAATATAGTGCTTTTACAACCTACCCCGTGATTAACTTTGCCTACTGTTTATTACTCTAAAAAATCCAGCGCCTTATAGAACACCCTGCCGAACAGATTCTCTTACCCGTAATAATAAATAAATAATCAGTCACTTAAAAAATCGTCACCATCGCTACTTTCGTCACCTAGTTCTGTGATCAATTCCGCCACTGATCGTTGCCGATAACTATTTTCTTCTTGTATTATTCGTTTTACACAATTAGACCAGCTTTGTGCTGATATTTTAGCTACTTCTTGCCGAATTACGTTTATGATACTATCGCTAGATTTTGATGCAGTGTTATTTCTTCTTATATGCGCTTTCAACTCAGACGAAATCATCTCAATCCGGTACAGGGGTAACCTCAAGATTTCGTGTTCGTTTTGTATCGAATCGATTTGTAGTTATATTAAAATATTTTATTCTTAATCATTCCGGAAGTTGGTTTTTCGTAAACCTAGCTCTCTTCAAAATACAAATCAGTTCCGTACAGAAATTCTTTAATTTCTTCTAAGTTTGAAGAATTATTTGGAATTTTTCTAATTTGCCCTGAATGCAATGCAATAAATGCACTATATTTTTGGTCGTATTATGCACGTGTTCTCGCGATATGACAAACATCTCAAATTACATTAATTATTGAAAAATTAGTTTCTTACTTTATGGTTGTGGTTTGCCCCCCCCGCCCCCCAAAAAAAAAACACTGGTTTCTCCGCCCCCGGAGGCGGGGCGCGCGCGACTCTCTCACGACCGGTGTTGTTCTTCCCCTCGCAGATAAACACGGCGGACCACCGTCGACCGTTAAATGGACGCGGCGTCCATCATAACGCAGGTGGCGCGGGACGACGACGGCGTCGACGACGGCCCGGATCACCAGCACGCGGCTGCCGCCGCTGAGAAACACCTCCAGGTCCACCCGGGGGCCGCGTCGCAGAAGAGGTCGACGCGCAACTTTCTCCGCGCCCTGCTATGCTGCTTCGGCGAGCGCGGGAGACGGGGCGCCGCCTCCAAGGGCGGCGCCGCCGACCACCACCACCTCCACGGCGCCGTCGACGGTTCGCCGCCGTACGGCATCGCGGACGAGCGTCTCGCTTTCCTGTTGCCGCCCGTGCGGCAACAGGACGCCCACAAGAAATGCATGGTGATCGATCTGGACGAGACCCTGGTGCACAGTAGTTTTAAGCCGATCAACAACGCGGACTTTATCATACCGGTCGAGATCGACGGCACCGTGCACCAGGTCTACGTGCTGAAACGTCCGCACGTCGACGACTTCCTCAAGCGCATGGGCGAACTGTACGAGTGCGTCCTGTTTACCGCGTCCCTCGCGAAATACGCCGACCCGGTGGCCGACCTCTTAGATCAGTGGGGCGTTTTTAGGGCGCGGCTGTTCCGCGAGAGTTGCGTTTATTACCGCGGCAATTACGTCAAAGACCTGAACAAACTGGGCAGGGACCTGCAGCAGATCGTCATCGTCGACAACTCGCCCGCTTCGTACATATTTCACCCGGACAACGCGGTGCCGGTCGCGTCGTGGTTCGACGACGCGAACGACAAGGAGTTGCTCGACCTGGTGCCGTTTTTCGAGAAACTAAGCAAAATGGACAACGTTTACACGGTGCTGTGCAATTCGAACCGGCCGATCGGCAATAATCGGGCGACGGTCGAGCAGCTCGACGACCAACAGACGCAGCAGCAGCAGCCGCCGCGCGTGTAGTCCAGGTGGCGCGGCGGCCGCGGGCGTCGCTGACCACACGCGCGGGAGGGATCGCCCCGGCGCGACGTCGGTTTCGCGCTTACAAGAGTGCTAACGTCTTACAAACGTAAATTCACACTCGTAAGACGCCTTACAGGCGTAACTTTACCCCTGTAAGACGTCTTACAGACGTAACTTTACATGATTCGTTGCCCGCTCTGAAACGCCGTTGTGTGTTTTGGGAACATATCCGGCAAGTTAGAAGCAATTTGAAATACCAAATAGCCACTTGATGAAAATCCATTTAACAAAATAAATAAGAACTAAAAGTTTAGATTTTTTCAACAACACCTCGTGTAGGACGTCATTCGCGAGGTCTTTATAGTGCAACTCTACGCCTCCGTCAGCTGACCGTAGCGAACAAAATTTGTAAGATAACACACCGAGTTGGCAGTTTTGTCAAGCAACAACTTTTCGATTTTTCATGAGTAAAATCGCTTTTTTTTTCAAACCTCGTCGACCCTCTTACTTTTACACTTGTAAGAGTGAAATTATCCCAGGACACCGAGCAATAGCTTTTCGACCGAGTAAATTTTCAGTTGTAAGACAATTCGGTTCCCACTCGCCGCGTCCGTCTTAACAATGTAAGATGCCATTTACGTTGTCTTACAAATGCAATTCTTCTTCAGTTTTGGTTAGTTCCGACCTTTCAGTTCCTCTTGCACCGGTAAAATTAAAATTGGGTTTCAAGCATCGCCGATCATTTCATATTTACACTTGTATGGGCGATGAGTTTGTAAGTGTAAATTTACAGTTGTAAGACGTCAGTCGCTTTGTGTTACAAGGGATTCTTAACCGGAAGTGCATTCTTCTAACAAAAATTTTGTAAATTAACCCAGGAAACCGAGTTGACAGTTTTTCCAAGCAATGGCTTTCCGGCCTTCCAAATCCTCTTACAAGAGTAAAATTACAGTTGTAGGGCTATCGGGTTTCCGAATTCACGAGTCCTATTATAAGAGTAAATTTACACTTGTAAGTGTAAATTTACTCGTGTAAAATGTCATTAGCCTCTCCTTACAAGTGAAACTCTATGCCTCCGGCATCTGGCGGGAAGGCGTTATTCCAATAAATATTTGTATTTTAAATGAATTAACTGAGGACACCGAGTTGGCAGTTTTGTTCAAGCAGCGGTTTTCCGACTTTCCTAATCTTCCTACATGTTTCGGACCTTGCAATTTGCAAGAGTAATTTTGCGCTTGTGAGAGCGATGGGTTTGCAATCTCCCTGGTCCTCTTGCAAGTGTAAATTTACCCCTGTAAGATGTACAAGTGTAAATAAAAACCTGCATTTTTAATGTAATGTTAAAATCTATAATACGAAGTCGCTCGGTTCGAAAAATTTCGTAAAATCGCTGGTTTGCAGGCGAGAAATTTGCTCAAAAACGGATAATATTCGGGGCGTCCACTGTCAATATTTAATATTAAATATCGACGTCCGTTGAGAAAACGCCCCGTATATCACGTATAATATGTGACAATCACTCGAAATCTCTCTCTTTCTCTGTCGACCAATGATGACGCGTCGCTCCGCGATCGGACATATCACGTACGCGGCGAGCCCCTCCCGCTATGTAAATAGCGTCCCCGCCCCTCCCCGTGGGGGCGGCGGGGCTTTTGTACGGCGTTATATCATATCTTGTATAGTCAAAAATATTTTTACACGGTGTAGAACTAAAACCTTTTTAAAACGCGACAGCATAGTAGACGACCCGCCGGGTCCACTGTTTAAGTGGGCGTGTCGACCCCCCCGCCCCGCCCCCGGCCCGCCCCCGTTTCCCCGCCGCCTGCGCCGCGGAAAAAATAAAATTTTTCTATCGATATTTTTCTACCACGTATTATATGTCTGCGGGATTTTTTACACGAACAAGGAGACGGACCGGGGGCGGGAGCCGACGGAAATAAAATTATTTTGTATAGGAAGTAGTTTTAAGCCGCGTCTGTTTTTTTGTTTTGTTCGACAATGAAATTGTTTAAAAAAAGTAATTACTAAAATTGTGAGCGTTTTTCTATATACATATATATATTTGTTGCCGTATTTTATCCGACGTATTGTTTTTTTTTTTTTTTCGTTTTAATTGGTTTTATTTCGGAATTTTAGTACTACATATATACTTCAATAAAGTAACCTCCAAGAGAAGGGGCCGCCTCGCGCAGTTGTTTCATTTTTCTAACCCGATCCGGATCCTTCGATGACGCTCGCCACATTTTTGTAATGTTTTACATTTTTTGCACTTACCTTATGTAGTTTTTGCAATGTCGGCATCTCAATTTATTTATTTCTTTTTTGTAATACCACGCCGTTACATTTTTTTATATATTCCTATATATTCCTATTTTTTATATATTCCTACGATATAATAATATCGTCCCTAAGTGCATTTTTTGTAATGTCGATATTTCAAAACAACATAGTATTCCTACAAACCGTCAGTCGTTCAAACTGTTGACCACGTGGCAATTCCGTATTGCAACGCTACTTCCATACTTTTTTCTTTATATGTATATTGATATCCCAATTGATACGATTAAATTTCAATAGGTGCGTTTTTTTGCAATGCCTGTTATACTCATTGATAAATTTTCGCAATGGCTTTTTCTCCGCAAACTGCATTTTTCTATGTATATTTATCATTGCTAGGCGCATTTTTTTTTTTGCGATTGAACATTTCAAATGTAACGTAGGTACTAGAATGAATAATCATCGGCATTAATAAATTCCTGCAACGGCCCGTTCTCTCTCAATAGGCCAATTTTTTTTTGTAATGTCGTGTCCGCCCGTCTATTCAGAATTTAATTTTTGCAAAGTCTTGTTTTTGCAATGTCGACATTTCAAAAATGACGCGGAGGTGTTCGAGTAACGATCGACATTGATACATTTTTGCAAACCGCCTGCCGTTGAAACATTGGATTGCAATTGCGTATTTTTTTGCGCAATACGTTTTTGCAATGCCCCAATCCTCGCGTTTAGATTGCAATGCCGCTCGTATGTTTTTGCGAATAATTTAAACGGTATAGATTTTGGCGATGCCGCAGTGGCGTGTTTTTTTTTTACAATCCAACATTACCAGAATATCCGCGCCAGGTAAGGGCGCAGGTCCGGATCTCGCACAGGCCCGTACTGATGAATTTTCGAGCCGCCGACGCCACATTTCGTCGCACGCCGGTGGGGTGTTCCCGTACGTCTCGGGGGGGGTAAGTACGACGTATCCGAAGCATGCTTTCGGAATAATAAGGCCCTCCTACTTCCCCCAGCTGCTTTAGCATGTCTTTCGAGACAACAGAACACGGGGTGGGTTTTCGGGTGCCGCGTGACCGACTAGCGTTCGATACGATATCAACCCCGCCCCCCTCCCCCTCCCGACCGATCCCGACCCCGCCCACCGTCCCGTCTCCCGTAAGACCGATAGTACGCTCTGCTTTGTTTTCTGTTTATTTACGGTTATTTTGTAAAAAAAAGAAAACTCGGCGTCAAAAGTCCCTCGGGGTGGGGGGTGTGGAATCGTACCATCGCGCGCGTCTCCCACACGGAGCCCATTAGTGTGCATGGTGAAGCATGAGTATATTTATATATATACCTATACATAATACTATATATATAGTTGGTTTGTGGCATGCCGCAGCAGCTGAGGGAAGCTAGGGGGCGCGCCCGTTATAGGCGCCGCCCTCCCCCTCTGGCGGGGAGTGGCGGGCGGAGGGAACACCCGCGGCGTCGACGCAGAGGTGGCGGATCGGTAAGGTCTCGCGTTCACCATGGGCACCAATGGGTATTCTGGTCGTGTATGGGACGCGTCTCGGTTCAATTCGGTAACTAACTGAAATGGTGGTTTGAAAAGTTCGACAATAAGAAACAGCCGCAGCTGCCATTGGCGGGAACCTTTTCCGTGTTGTTATAGCCGTTTTGTTTGTTGCGATGTTTTCCTATAATTGTCTTGGCATCTGGATCGATTAGTAGGTGAAAATAAAAAAAAAAAAAATTTGTTTGTTGATATACACGCCACTTAGCGACATTTATTTTTATACAGGGTATCAACACGAAAAAATGATCGGCAATTAGCTATAATTTTTTCTTCTCCATACGGAGAAATAAGTCCCTAAAGGACGCCGCTCTAGAGGGAAGAACTTTAAAGAGTACGTGACATATGTTCATAAAAACATATACTGAATTGTTTTTTGAGAAAAGATTGTTTTATTTTAATTACCTAATTGATTTAATTATTGGATTTCCTAATCGAAAATTATAATAAACTGGACACGTAAATAATTTAATTGCTACGAGATTAAGTTTTTTAAAATAATTCAATAATTGGACATGCAAATTACTTAATTGTTACAAGTTTAAGTACTTTTTTTTTAAATAAATTGATAATAAATAATTGTTTAATATTAATTATTTAATTAATTTATTTAATGTATTATTTAATAAAAAAAATGAATTAAACAGAATACGTAAATTACTTAATTGTTACTGCTTTAAGTAATTTTTTTCTCGTAAAAAAAAACAAATTACTAATAGTTTAATATTAATATCTAATTAATTTAATTAAGGTACGATTCAGTAAAAAATTTGAGTAAACTTTAAGTGTAAATTACTTAATTATTACGATTTAGCATTAATTATCTAATAATTTGAATTAATGGAATATTTAATAAAAAATTAGAGTAAACAGGACACGTGAATTACTTAATTGTTAAAAGTTTAAGTAAATTTTTCTCTTAAAAAACAGATTACTAATGGTTTACCAATATTATCCAATTATTTTAATTAATGTATTATTTAATAAAAAATTAAAGTAAACTGGACACATATTACTTAATTGTTACGAGTTTAACTAATTTTTTCTCTTAAAACAACAAATTAATAATGGTATAATTAATTTAATTAATGTACGATTCGATAAAAAATTAGTGTAAACTTTACTTAAATTACTTAATTGTTACGAGTTTCGCATTGATTATCTAATTATTTGAATTAATGTATTACTTAATTAAAAATTAAAGTAAAGTGGACACAAATTGCTGAATTACTACGAGTTTGAGTAATTTTTTCTCTTAAAAAAACAAATTAATAATGGTTTAATTAATTTAATTAATGTACGGTTCGATAAAAAATTAGTGTAAACTTTACTTAAATTACTTAATTGTTACGAATTTTGCATTAGTTATCTAATTATTTTAATTAATGTATTATTTAATATAAAATTAGAGTAAACAGGACACGTTAATTACTTAATTGTTATGATTTTAATTAACTTTTTCTCTGAAAAAACAAATTAATAATGGTTTAACTATATTATCAAATCATTTTAATTAATGTATTGTTTGATTTAAAAAAATAGAGTAAACTGGACATGTAATATTACTTAATTGTTACGACGCCCTTTAGGGTCTCATTTGTCCGCTTGCGAGGGAATAAAAATGTAGCAAATTATCGTACTCTCCAACAGTTTTGTTGTTTTGTAAATAAAAAATGAAAAATAGATCAATTTTTAAACCTTTTCCTGTCAAAATTGGCATTTTAAATCTAAAAAGTGTGTTTATTTTGAAAATATCGATAAATTTTATTGGAAAACTTGTTCTCTCTACAGTTTTTGGCAAATGCGCCGATTTGTTAAAAAATCGGACATGCTTGATTGCCTTTTTCCAAACTTTTTTTTTGTCGCAATCCACAGACTTAAAAATTACAATAAAATTAATAATAAATAAATGCAGGGTGTAACGGTGGATGCCATGTATATCGAACGGGTCCGCTTCATCCGAAACTAACGATCCCACCCCGTATGATAGGCGATAATTTTTTTGTTCTATGTGTGTTTTGCCCGCTCGTTAACGCTTTTCGTATTATTTTAGATCGGCTGCGACGCGTGTGACGCGAAGCCTGCAACTATGCGCGGCGGCAACGTCGCCTAGTTCCGTGCCTCCGCCTTTAGAAGTAATACCGACGACGACACGTGAGTACCACCTATAATATACTCTAAGCGGTCAGGGCTCACTCCGATGGTATACTAGAGCGAATAAACAGTTTGGCGATTCGTCAAAGGTATGTTTTCGGTTTATGAATGACTCCGATTGTATATTTGACTTTCCGAAGAAGTCACTCGAGCTTTGAAATAAGGTTTACATCTATATGCCAATACCGACAGTTGCAATCGGTTTTCGACCAATGTAAAGGATAAGGATATATATGACTCCGATTGTAAATTTGACTTTTGTAAATTTGAATTTGACTGAGGTTTTTTTTTTTGAGTTTATAAATGACTCCGATTGGATATATGATCGTCTACATAAGTCATTTGAGCTTTAATAAGACGGTTACCCAACATTTTAAAGCAGTCGCTAAGTTTCGCCGAAGGTATATTTTCGGTTTATGAATGACTGTATATTTGAGCATTTCAAGAAGTCATTCGCCAATGCTGCAAGTTTTTAAATGCCCATTCTACATTTGCGATCGGGGAGAACGGTCGCCAAGTTTGTGGTTTCATGGTTTTGAATGACGTAAAATGTATATTTGACTTCCCTTATTTTATCGTGGTTCTTGTTTTTGAGAATGTTATTTTTTTAGACTTTCTAAACAAGTGATTCAAGCTTTTAAAAAAGCGTTACATCCAGATGTCAATTTCACCAATGTGGATGACCTAAATTGTCAATTTGACTTGGATGCAATTTTTTCAGTGTATAGATGACATCGATTTTGAATTTGAAGTTCTAATTAAATCATTCGAACTTTGAAAACAAAATAAATGATGAAGGATTTTTAAATGCCTATTTCACATTGGAAAAATGTAAAACGGTCGCGAATTTTTATGTGACTTCCCAGATTACATTGTCGACGGTTTTCGCTCAGTATAAATGCCAAATCCGTATTTAAGGATTTTTTTCCCTTAATATTATTTTTCTAGTTCATAAATGACTCCGATTACATCTATACGTCACAACCAAAAATCTTTGAATGTCTGTTCTCTCGCTCGATGTATAAATAACTCCGATTGTGAATTTGAAATTATAATTACGCCATTCGAGCTTTTAAAAATATTAAAGGTAAAAATTATTACCCAAGATTTTGAAATTCCTTTTTCGCATTTAAAAAAGGTGAAACATTGGCAAATTTTTGAGTTTGACTCCCCAAACTCCATCATCGCACATTGAGGAACATTATAAATGACTCAGAACTCTTGTCGTTGTTCGAGGCCCTTTTTGCCGTATTTGGTCGTCAAAGATGACTCGCAATGTATATTTGACTTTCTCACACGAATTGCTCACGTTATGGTCACTCGGATTATATTTTTTTGATTGAAGCGACTCGAAGATAATATAAAAACTGCCGCAGATTTAGAACGACCTCGTTTTGTGGCACTTCATTCAAAGGGTAACTAAATCGGGTGAATGGGAGGGGGGGTCGCTTCGCACGTGTTACGTAGAATGATTATTCAGGCGCGGACCCCCCATTCACAGTTGGTCGGCGCCGCCTCTCGTTGATTTTATCACCAGCGGCGGCGGCACCGGTCGATATCGCGTGTTCATTTTCATGCGAGAGGCCTTCCCGTTTTTTTTTCATGTCGAACAATGGTCGATATCTGGTCCTTCGAGCCGGATTACACTTTTATTAAACTGTGCCTTTTAGGATATCCGTCATTTGGTCTTGAGAAACGTGTATTGACTGGACTGGTTTTACAAAAATGTATATTTAACTCTCTATGGCTGCGTCACACATATGTATTTGACTTCTCAATGAACAAGAACGCAATAATATTAAAATTATATTTGACTGTTTGGTGTCGGAAAAAAAATATATTTGACTCTCTAAGCTTGTGCTTTTATATTTGACTTTTCTGAATGAAGAGATTATATTTGAAATTATTTTGTGATATACGTCAACGTTTATATTTTACTCTCTAGCTTATAACATGATAAAATGATTCTAACATATTTGTGACACTTGTATATATGATTTTGGAATAATAACTGCTTCAGTTTCAAAACGATCTTAAAATTTTACATGGCCCCAAGCAATATGTCAAAAATGTATATTTGACTCTCGAGGTCCGTGCTAAAATTATTGTGTCAAAAAAGGTGGTAAAACATTTCGGACACGTTGTACGCGTTTACATTTGACTGTCTGACGTTATAAAAAATGTATATTTGACTCGGCAAGACCGAGAATAAGGAAAAAAATAAGTAACCGTCGGCGCCGTGTTTGCTTTTACCGCTGCACGTGAGAAAGCGATTTCTCCGAGAATCTGCATAAATTATGATTAAATAGATCGGTTTTCGCTCGTATTTCAGTAGTGTCGTTCAAAACGCACGTCGATGTTTGTGTTCTCGCCTTTTGAAGAGTCAGATTGTTTGCGCTACCGTTTCGAATGGATATTTCAGTAAGTCGGAATGCCTACGGCTTTTTTTAATCTCTTGTTGTTTGTTTTGTTTTTGCATTTTTGTTATTTTCGTCAGATCGTCATCATGCAACGAGGCGCGCAACGCCTAGGCGGGGGCGCGACCAAAAACAACGGCGCCTCCGCGGTCCGCCGCCCCCCCGGCTCTCTAGTGTCGGGCCTACGCCCCTTCAACCGGCCGTACGACGGCAAAATAGCCGGCCTCTACGACTTGGAGGAGACGCTCGGCCGCGGCCATTTTGCCGTCGTCAAGCTCGCCCGGCACGTGTTCACCGGCGAGAAGGTCGCCGTCAAAGTCATCGACAAAAGCAAGCTGGACGACGTCTCCAAGGCGCACCTGTTCCAAGAGGTGCACCCCGTCTCTTTCGGTGTATCGTTGGTTGCCTAACCATCGGCGGTCGTTCCAGGTTAGGTGCATGAAGCTGGTGCAACATCCGAACGTGGTGCGCCTCTACGAGGTGATCGACACCGCGACCAAGCTCTACCTGATACTCGAGTTGGGCGACGGCGGCGACCTCTACGAGTACATCCTGAAACACGACTCCGGCCTGCCGGAGGAAATGGCGCGCGAATATTTCGGGCAGATAGTGCGCGCGATCTCGTACTGTCACCAGCTGCACGTGGTGCACCGGGACCTGAAGCCCGAGAACGTCGTCTTCTTCAAGAAGCTGGGCGTCGTCAAGCTAACCGATTTCGGGTTCAGCAACAAGTTCTACCCGGGCCAGAAGCTGGAGACGTCGTGCGGCAGCCTCGCGTACTCCGCCCCCGAGATCCTGCTCGGCGACTCTTACGACGCCCCCGCGGTCGGTAAGTCGCCGCACAGTAAACCGGGGAAACCCTACCTGTTCGACTAATAAATTTTACTTAATATTAATAAAAACGCAACAATAAAAAGAAAAAAATATTACAAACATCAAACTTTAATACAATATAACTACTATACAGGGTGTTCACAAAAAACTCTATATTTGCAAACAGTTTTTAATTAAATTAAGAAAACAGTTTAATAACACTGCGCAAAATGTAGAAACGTTTTGAAATAATTGTTTTTAAGCAATAAAAAAATACAGGGTGTCCCAAGAGTAACAATTTAACAAAAAAAAAATATTTATTTAATATAGATTAAAACAAAATATTGTTGTCGTTGTTTTTTGCAGACGTCTGGTCACTGGGCGTCATCCTCTACATGCTGGTGTGCGGGCAACCGCCGTTCCAGGAGGCGAACGATTCGGAAACGCTTACCATGATTATGGACTGTAAATACAACGTGCCGCCCCACGTGTCCAAGGAGTGTCGCGAGTAAGTGTAAACGACGTCGAAATATCGGGGAATTCGCTTTCGTCACGGCGTTTCTTCGTCTCAGCCTGATCGCCCGTATGCTGATCCGGAACCCGGAAAAACGAGCGACCCTGAAGGAGATCGCGAACCATCCGTGGTTGGCCGGCGACGCGAAGGACAACCAGAGCGACGCGCTCGCGCTGCCGCTCGTGTCGCGCGAGCAACTCTCCGAGGAGGATCACGGTTTCATCGTCCAGAAGATCGTCAACGGGAACATCGCGACCAAGGAGGAGATCCAGGAGTCGCTCGACAAGAACGAGTACAATCACATCACCGCCACGTATTATCTGTTGGCGGAGAGGAAGTTGCGGTCGAAAAGGGCGGACGCGGCCGGTAAAAATAAAAGGCCCGAGAATTTGGCCGTGTCGAAGGGTGGAGGAGGAGGCGGAGGCGGCGGCGGCGGCGGCGGCACCCAGAAGAGGGAGAACAACGGGACGGCGCCGGGCTCGTGTCTGCTGAACGTGCCGAGGACGCCGGGTGACTTGCCGCAGGTAAGTGCTTTTGGTCTACTTGACCGAGTGCAGGTCGCGGTAGTTCAAATGAACGTCGATGTGTGGTAGCTTAAACGTACGTTTCGAGCAATAAGTTTGACAATTTTTTAATTAGCGGCGTCGATTCGTTGAGGTTTGAGACGTTCACGTACTATTAGTTCAAATGAACGTTTCAATTTTGAGCAGTAGTTTCAATTCTTCGTATCGCTCTCGCGTTTAATTATTTTTTATTTTTTAGTTCGCCCGGGCAGCCAGTAGTTGTGAGCGTTGATTTTGATTTTTTCAGGCGCCGGGCAGCCAGTAGTTCGAATAAACATTTTTGTTCTCGTACGATAAATACAGCGTTCAACTTTTTTTTTATTACGGGCGCCGATCATTCCACTGATTGATCCTCCATCGGTAAATAGTTCAAACGTACATTTTAATTTGTCCATATGCACCGCTCCCGCGTCCAAATCTTTTTCTTGTAAGCGTTGATTTTGATTTTTTCAGACGCCGGACAGCCAGTAGTTCGAATAAACATTTGTGTTCTTGTAAGATAAATACAGCGTTGAACCTATTTTTTAATTTTTTTTATTATTATTTTATTGATTATTTTATAGTTCAAATGTACAATTAATTCCGGATAATTTTAATTACGGGCGCCAATTTTTCGATCGTGTATGTTCGCAAATTTGGTAGTTTAAATGAACATCTCATAATTTACGCGAATACACTTTTTGTTACTGGCGGCGAACTCTACTATCACGAACATATCAATTTTTCCCGGCAAGTAGTTCAAATGAGCATTTCTATTTTTTACGCGAATACTAGCGGAAGAATTTTTCTCGCATAATTTTTATTACGGGCGCCAATTTTTAGAGTATTTACCAGTAGTTCAAACGAACATACCAATTCCTACGCAAACAGCGATTTCGACTTTTGACGTGCTTCCCGGTCAGTAGTTCAAATGAGCGTTTCTATTTTTTACGCGAATACTAGCGCTAGATGTTTTTTTGTCAAGATCTATTTTGATATTGCAGACGTTTAAATGAACATTTGAAATTTTCGATTCTAACAATTTTAATTACGGACGCCAATTTTTCCAGTAGTTCAAACGAACATATGTGTAATGTGTAACTTTTGAACCGCGCCCCAGGCGGTAGTTCAAACGAACCAAGTTAACGTCGCGCTTTTGAAACCCTTTCGCAGAGGTCGAGAAAATGCAGCATCGTCCAGGAGGACGAGGAGGAGGAGGACATCTCGTCGTGTTCGGGGCGCGAGGAGTTGGGGCCGCCGCTGAACCGGCGGGGCTCGCGGTCCGAAGGCCGGCTGAACCTCGCACTCCAAGAGAGGATCGCGGACACCGAACGCAAGAAGAGCGAGCCGGCGCCGCCCTCGCAGAGGCCGTCCATCAGGTGGCATAAACAGGGCAAGTGCGCGGAAGACAAGGGCGAGGAAGCGTCGGTGCCCACCACCGTCATCACCGACTCGTCCACCATCACGATCCCGATCATAACGACGAGTAGCACGCCGACGGAGCCGTCGATACCCAAATACAAGACGATGCCGTCGCCGACGCGGGGCAACGGCCTCCAACTGAACGAGATTTTCGAGGAGGGCGAATCGGACACTACGCAGAGGCCGCAGGCGCGTCAATTCGTCAAACGCACGCCGTACGAGCAGAGGCGGTCCAAGTTTCACAAGACCCGCACCGCGTCCTGCAGCTCGTCGGATGCGAGCGACGACGACAGCGAGAAACGCAAGAAACGCGCGCACAAGCTCAACCCCGCCTCCGCCAAACCGTCTCAGGGCAGACGGGACAGCTACGACGACAGCAGCGACTCGCAGGAACCTGGGGCCGGCGGCACCGTCGGAGACGGCGGCCAAGGCGTCGGCGGAGTCGTCGTCGCCGCGTCCGAGAACCGAGGCGACACCGGGAACTCGCAGCAGAACAAGAGCGGCGAGAAGGGCGACGGCGGCGGCAGGAAGAACGCGGGGGGCGGCGGCGGAGGCAGCGTCGCGATGCTCGGGCGCCGCCACAAGGCCAGCCGAAGGCGGGGCGGCGAGACCAGGCTCAGGGAAAGCCAGTCCCTGAACAGGTCAGTAGTCGAAACTACCAGTTTAAAAGAGTAGTTCAAATGAACAACGTCCACCGAGCGAGGCGTGCGGAGCCGAGATTAATTGGGGTATTTTACAGACGCAGCCGTCCAATAAAATGAAATCACAAAATGTCACAAAAAAGAGATATTTTGTCAGTGGACTAGTTTAAATTATTTTTTTTAAATTTTATTTAAATCTAATTAAGAACTAATTACAGCTTTTTATTACAGTATTTTAATTGGTATAACGTCTTAAGTGTCGTTTAAAGGCTTCAAAGCTCAGAGAAAAAAAATCGAGATCCCGAAACGCGTTCTCTGCCCTGTTATAAGTAAGGGTAAAGTCTGTTCATAGATATAAGAAAGTGACTAACTGAGACGAATTAAGGAAAGGCCCGGGCAAGCTGTAAGAATGAAATATGGCCGGACAGGTCCGTACTTTGCTTAGAATTTAATTATTTGGTGCCTCTCATTCAACGTGGTGCCAGCAAGCAAGCATCTTTAGAAGAAGAAAAAAAGCTTGAACCTTCAAAAGGAATACGTCGGTGATAATTACGCAAAAAATCTAGGGCATACAGTTTTAAGGCTTCCACCTTACCACTGTATACTTAATCCCATTGAACATGTTTGGCACCAACTGAAATCTGCCAATCGTCGTAACAATGTTTTTCCCCGTTTTACCTCCAAAGTCCTCAAACTTATAGAAACCGAAGTTTTTAACATCCCTCCACAAAGTTGGGCAAATTCTGTTAAACACATAGAAAAAACAGAACAATCGCATATCCATATTGCAAATAATATAGAACAAATAATAATTAGAACAGGCGATGATCGATAGTGTGAATAATTTCAAGTAATTTAAGTAGGTAATAAAAATAATTTGTAATTTTATTTTAGATTTAAACATAAATTTGTACATAAATAAATAAATATTTTTTAGTATCTTTCCTAAGAAAACCACAAATAATTCTAAGCAAAGTAGGGACCTGTTCGACCATATTTTATTCTTACAGTTTGCCCGGGTCTTTCCTTAATTCGTGTCAGATAGTCACTTTGTTATATCTATGAACAGACTTTACCGGTAAACGTTGCCCGTATATGTCACGGTTAAGTAAGCGGGAATTTTACGCAGAATAACCGAAGTGCAAGAGGACGGCGCGGCGCACGCGCTCGTGATCTCCACTACCGTGATGGGCACGCAGGGCCCGTTGACACCGAAGGTGAAAGGTCTGGGCGCGCGCATCCTGCAGGGCCTCAGCATGTCGGCGAAGCGTCAGCCGGCGACCGACGAAAAGGGCGGCGCCGCGCATCACGTGTCGCGCAAGGAGGCGGCAGCGGCTGCCAAAACGAACATCGATAAGGAGGGCGTCAAGCCGTCGTCCGAGCGGAAAAAGACGCGAATCCTCGGCAAATACTTCCAAGTGCACCGGAAGCTGTGCATACCGCTGCCGGTGATCTTCAACAAGGGCAACCGGCTATACAAGGCGCAGTCGTGCGGATCGCTGGCCCGGGACAAGGTGGTCAAGGGCGACGCGACGCTTAAAGGCCGCCAGAGGGCGGTCAGCGCGTTCCGAAACAGTCTGGGCAACGAGGCGGACCTCGGCGCGAATAAGATCGAGCGCGCGCGACGCAAATCGGCGACGGTAGTTCACTTGAACAACGTGTGCAACGAGCTGACGGGCATGTGCGCGGTGCACCTCGGGCAAACGTCCAAGCGCAGCTTCTGCTGAACTCCGCCCCTCTCACCCGTTCAAACATATACATACATATTTGTATATTATACATATTGTTTTTCTTCCTCGTTTACTGCTAGCCAAAGTTTTACCCTAGGTTTAATTCGGAGTTTTTTTCTTTTTATATTTCTCGTTGTGTGGTCGTAGTTTGCGCGCGGAAAATGTCGCGGGTTCGATCGAACTACCGCGGGTAGTTCGAACGTCCCGCGGCTCGAATCAAAACACTTAGGATAATACACTGTTAGGGTTAGGGTCTACTTCGCGTTTTCCTTTTTTTTTTACATTGGCGGTAGGTCGAACGTACGACGGCGACGCGCACTGTGATAGGCCCCGGAGAGCGGCGCCCGTTGTTTTTCTTTTTTCCTTTTCGACGGGGTTATAGGGAGGGGGAGGATCGCGAGCGCGTCGGAATAAGACTGATTTTTTGAACATTTTTCCGCCCGTTTCGCGCGTGCCGCGTTTTGTTCTGTATATATTTGTGTATTCGGAGCGAGTGTGCAATAATTTACGCGGCGATTAGTTCGAACGCGCCTCGTGACCGTCGGAGTATGTGCTGTGCACAGCGAGTAGTAGGACGTCGCTAAGTTCGCGCGAGATCCCCGCCTCCCCGATCCAGTTTCGTACCCGACACTATTTGTGGTGTGCCTTTATATTTGTGTGTAGATGCTATTTATTGATGTCAAGCTGGTCTTGCCGTTAGTAATGGTTGTCGATATGTCGCGAGCACTCACCTTGTTTCATTGCGTCTAATAAATATATTACTTACGATGCCCTCGCGGTTTATTTTCCCCGCCTAATCGTCAGTTGGGTAGATTCAAAACTCACCACGTTCACAGGGCCGTGACTTACTTTCACGCCCCCACACCCCTTTAGGGCGTGGTCGAAAATTTAACCGCGTCCGCTTCGCTCGCTTAAGGCAGAGTCAAAATTTTTCACCAAACCACAAACCACAGAGAGTGAATAATTTGGCCACGCCCACTAGGTGGAGCACAGAAGACACTTGGACAGGTTTAAACACACTCATTTAGGGTCAAGTAAAAAATTTTAAATGGTACACAAGTGGGCGGGACGCTCGTTTAGGGCGGACTCGATTTGGTCGGTCCTACTAGGAAAGGCGTAAAGGTAAGCCACGCCTCTTTATGGCGGAGTCAATCGACTAGGTGGGGTGTAAAAGTAACCACGCCCATTTAGGTGGAACCAAAGGCGCACCTAGTGGGCGGGACGTCGCAGTAAACACGCAACATCGAACCCACCACTCTCATTTAGGTGGTACAGAAAAGGCACGCCCTTTAACGATGGGCATAGAAAAACACACTCATTTAAGGTGGAGTCAAGAATTTGGCCATGCTCACCGTTTGGGTCGTAAAAGTAACCACGCGCCTGGTTCGGTCGCAGATAAAAGTAAAGCACGCCCAGTAGACTGGGCGCCGCAGTAATTATGCTCATTTACGTTGGAGTCAATTTGGATACCCCCACTAATTGACGCATAAAAGTAAGACACGTCGACTAGGTTGGGCGTAAATGTAAGCCACACCCTTTTATGGCGGAATCGAAAGACAGGACGTGCACGGAAGGAGGGTGCACCACGCCCATTCGTTGAAGAGAAATAAAACGCTGGTGTTTCGTTTTTAATCGCTTTTACTTAAACAGACGGTAGGTATAAACATATTGAAAATTACTGGCTACATTTGGGATATCGAAAGGCAAGCCGGGAGGGCCCGGAGCCGCGTCAGAATATTTTCATACAAAAAAAAAGCGGGAACAAATGCAAAAATAAAACTTTCAAATTCTCGTAAATGCCACGCGATTAGTCCAAAACGCTCCGATAAATGATCTTTATTAATTAAAAAAATAGAAGGAAAACAACGAACAAACAACATCGAAAAAATTGTAACGCCCCCGGAAGGCGGCGCGCGTGTGCGTCGGGACGCGGTATCAAAAACAAAGAGGTAGTTGCACCGAGCCGTCCCTAAAAGTCGGTACTTTCGGGTTCGGGTCGTTTCGCGACGACGGGCGGCGGCGGAGGCGGTTCCGTCGGCTTGCTCAAGCTCCGTGGCGACGAGGGGGTGTGGCCGGCCGTCGGGCTGCCCGCCGCCGTGCCTTTACCGAGATCGATCAGGTTCCCGTCGGACCTGGTGCGCGTGTGACTAGCTCTACGATTCCCGTTGAACTTTTCGCTCAGCTCGTTCAGCTTCTCGTTCGACTTGGAGGCGGCTAGGGGGTCGGTCGCCGTCCTCGACACTTTCGCCTTCTCCGACGCAACGTCCGACGCCGTCTCTTGCGGCCCGTTTTCCGTCTCTTTGTTCGAATTTACGTCGCCGGTACGGTTCTCCACGCCTTTCCTATCGGCCGCCTGGTGGTGACCCAAGAACTTTTCTTTCTCGGCCATCTGCGTGTCATGGCCGAGCATAAACTTCTCGTTCCTGTTCTGTACGTTCACTATGCTCGGCTGCTGCCTGTTGGCCACGCTGTACACCGAGCACTGGGTCCGGTGCGGCATCGGGTCCATGTCCATCGACGCCCTGCCGACCCGTCGCACGTCACTACGGCCCGCGGTACGTTCGAACTACTTACCGTTTCGGCGCCAACGAGGCCGGCCTGGCCGGTATCTCTGGCTTCGCGGTCCGGTCCAACATCTCGACGCGTCGTAGCTGCACGTCGCTGTACTCCGCCGCGTTCTGCGACCGCGTCATCGCCGTCGCGGCGGCGGCGGCTGCCGCGTCCCCGCTACTCCTCAGCGACGAAGTCCGGCTGAAGTTCTTGTCGGGATCTAACAGCGATTGCCGCGGCGCCGCCACCGGCTTGGGACTAGAATTGAGGACGGGCGGCTCCGGCGGCGGCGGCTGCGCCACGTGATGCGTGACCGTCGTCTTGAAGTGGCGCTCCGCGGGCGTCGCCCTCGCGTCGCTGACTAGATCGAGGTCCGAAGCACGGTGCAGGTCGTCTTTCGACAGGCTCCGCTTTTTCGACAAGCTCAGGTCGTTCTCCTCGGTGTTCGTGCCGATCGTCGTCTTCACCTGCAGGGACGATACGTTTGCGCTACTCGACGTTTTGGTAGTTCAAATAAACCGTCGCCGAAACGATGAGATAAAATTTGCGTATCGACGTACATTTGAACTACTCTCGTATTTTGGTAGTCCAAATGAACATTTGCACAAAACCGTCCGAATAAACGTTTTGTACATTTCAACTACCACAATGTTTTGGTAGTGCAAGACGCGTGGTTTTTTTAAGCTGCCCTATAAAACAACGCAATAAGTAACCGCTTGAGAGCCAGATGTATTCTTAAAACCGCATTTATTGACCTTCGCTCTGTCAAAATATCGATTAGTAGAAGGTCGACATTTATAGCAAACATAGTTTTGGGGAGCAGTAACATTTTAAGAAGTATCTTTCCGGCATTTCTCGGTTAACCGTGCAAGTGTTGCGTAACGTGAAATTGCGAAGACTTAAAGGTAAGTCATCTTACTTCATCTTAGTCATCTAGTTCCAAACATCCGTAAAATAGCGTAATTGTAATGGGCAATGCAAGTTATCAGAGTAGACAGTCGACTAAAACCCCTTCCTCGCGTGATATAAAAGCAACAATGCAAAACTACATGTATAATAACGACATTTATTTTCACGGAGATTATACCCAAAAGCAATTAATTGAGGTTGTACAAAGCTTAAACCTACAAAAGGAATACGTCGGTAATTAAGTAATATTAAGTTTGTTTTCTCATTTTTAATAATCTTTCGGTACTCAGGTTATTTTTTTTAGTTTTAGGTGCGAACCGTGACACCTCGCTGACCAAAATAATTGATGATTATTCAATTAAAAAAATAGATAAATTAATATATTATACATTTTCAAATTAAAATTTCATTGTTACGGTTACCCTTACAATAGTTCAAACAAAACCGTCGCCGAAACGTCCTTCGAAGTACATTTAAACTACTCGCTCATTTTAGTAGTTCAAACGAACTTACGTGTCGCGGCGTGTGCGTATTCGATCTACCGGCGTTTGACGGTTCAGATTAACTCACCTTGGCCGGTTCGCGGGCCTTGGGCGGCCGGTTCAAGGTCGCGCTGCCCGACGGGTACGACGCCGGCGACGCCCTCTCGTCCGGGTGGTCCGGGTTGTTGGGGCGGTGGTGGACGGCGGGCGGCACGGGTGCGGCCGGTTTGCGCTTACGCTGGTTCGGCCTCGGGCTGTCGAGCAGGCTCTCCATGCTCGTGTCGAGGGCGGCCGCGGAGGCGGCGCCGGCGTCCGCCCTCGCCCTGTACTCCTCCTCCGGCCTGAAGGTCACGTACTTGGCGACGTTCTCGGGGAACAGAACCGCGACCTCCTTGATGAAGAGCTCGACGAGCATGTTTATGGTGACGCAGTGGCCCATGTTGACGTCCATCTCCTCGTGCTTGTTCCACAATAGGTTCGGGGCCATCACGATCGCGATATTCGACGACGTCATCTTGTTCTGCGGATGGCGGGCGAGCTCGGCCAAGAACTGAACGAGGTACGCGAGATTGTCGCGATTCTCTTCTGGCAGACGGTCGAGGAGGACGCGGACGACGTCCAATCGCTGATGTTCCGGACACTGCATCGATTGCATCCAGTCGTCGTGCAGTCGATAGGTGAGCAACGGCTCGGGCAACTCGCGCAGGTACAGCTTGAGCGTGCTCGCCAGTACGTGCACGTCCTTGTACTCGGGTATCAGAGCGGTGAAACAGCCCGAGTCGAGAGCGGCCCTCAGCCGTTTCACCTTCGACATGCCGCCCGCTATCCGGAACAAGCCCTCCTCCGTCATGCCGTCCTCCGTTTCCAACGAAGTCACGCACACCTCGAGCGGGTACGCGATTTTCTTGCCGGTCACGCGGAGGTGTTCGCGGAGCGGCACGCCGAACACCCGCTTTATGTGGCTGTCGCCTTTAACCGAATAAAACGACGTAAATACGGCGGTAGTTCGAATGCACCGCCACAATCCCCGCGCAAAATAGCGACTAAAAATGCCCAAAAACAGTATTTTTTGAAAATAGTAAATAAATGGTTTTCGAGAAAATGAGTTTTTTCTGAAACCATGCAGCGTGCCGTAATAATCAATGACGTCATGGCGTCTTGACAGCCCCCTAAATAGCGATTTTAATATGGTTTGATCCAATTAGCCATATTTTTTACGATGTTTGATTTGCGGCTACTAATTTACTCTCTCAAAAAACAATTTTCTAGGTCTTTTAGATATAACCTATAATATGTGCCGAATATGAAGTCTATTGCTTCAAATTTTTCAAAAAATGAGAACGGAGAACCGACAGACAAAGAAATTTTTTTTTTCGACGGTGATCATTTCTGTACCAACGATTCCATAGGACCTACCGTTACCGAAAAACTACAATTTAGTTTGAACGTTTGCGTAAATCAAAAAGACAGTCACGGTTCCGGCAACCTCGAATCTAGTAGTAGTTTAGAGGCCCAGCTGCAGAACACTGAATACATTTGAACTACCAGAGGTAAATTTAGTAGATCAAATGCACCGTATTAAAACAAACGAAATAAACACGAAAAAACCCAAAAAGACCGTCACCATTCCGGCAACCTCATATCCGGTTGTTTAACGGAACCGGTGCAAAAAACTGAATGCATTTGAACTACAGAAAAAATTAATATACCAGTATTTATAATGTACGTAAAACCACCCCGTCAATATGTCGGGCTCCAAAAAGGCAAAGCGAAAATAGTTCAAACGTTCAAGAACGCTTTTCTACCTTTCGCCGTTACAGTAGATCGAATACACCATATTGGAACAAACTACTAGTAAAAAGGCGTCGCTTCAAAAACTACCAGCATCGAAAATACCGGACATAAATTATAATAATATCAATAGATTGCCTTTATTGTTGTATATAAATATACAGTAGAGAAGGGGCGAAGTATAGCAATTAAATTAATAAATTAAATATAGTATAACAGATAAATGTAATAGTAATATGGGACAATAGAAAATTCTTAAAAGTAGAAATAAAAAGGATAACATTGAAAATCGAATTATTTGAGAAGTTGTTTTGAATTTTTTTGGAATCTATATTCATTAATACTATCAAGGCATGGGTAATAGAGGACCAAACCATAGTTCATAATCGAAAGGACAAATGGATGAGCTAAAAGTTTCCGTAAACTGAAATTAAGGGCAGTTCTATGCCTGTGTAGGTCAAGTGCACGTAAAATCCACGGAAAAATGTTAGGCGCCAAAGAGACAAAGCGAAAATAGCGACGAAAAACGCAGTAGATCAAATGCACCGCATTGGAACAAGCGGAATATAAATGAAAAACCCCAATTTAGTTTGAACCTATGCGTAAATCAAAAAGATATACACAATAAACTAAATGCATTTGGACTACCAGCGGATCAATTTAATATACCAGTGTTTATAATGCACATAAAACCACCCCGAAAATGTCGGACGCAAGAAGCTAAACGTTCGAGAATAGTTTTCTACCTTTCGCCGTTACAGTAGACTGTAACTACGTGCAATAAAACTACCGACAATAAGTTTAAGTAAAACGGTAGTTCAAGTGCGCGTAAAAGCCCCGAAAAATGTCGGAAGCCAAGAAGACAAAACGAAAAAAGAGCGTTATTCGTTACAGTAGATCAAATGCACCGTACTGGGACAAACGAAATATAAACGAAAAAATCCGAGCTAGTTCCGACTACTAGTAGTTCTTAGTCTTCGCTTCAAAAATTACGTACACCGGAACTATCGGTCTTAAATTTAATTGCAATGGTAGTTCAAGTGCATGTAAAACCCCCGAAAAATGTCGGGAACGACGAAAAACGTTCAAGAACAGGTTTCTAAGTTTCGCTGTTGCAGTAGATCAAATGCACTGTGTTAGGACAAGCGAAATACAAACGACAAATTCCGAATAAGTCTGGGCGTTTCAATAAGTAGTTCAGTAGTTCAAACGCGCCGTCCGAAAAACTGCGTGCGTTGAAACTATAGACCTAAAATTATCCGTTCGAGTAGGTAAAAAAAAATCAGCAAGTGTTGGACCAAATCTGTAGATCAAATAGCCCGGTAACGATGAATTCGACCTACTCACCGATTTGTCTTTCCAGTTCTGGTATTATTGTCTCGAGGTTCTTTAAGGCACTCTCGTGGTAACCCCGCTGCAACTTGAGCAACTGCAATATGTAAGAGGAAAACTCATTTTCGCGCGAAAGTAAATTAAACATCTCGGTGGCGAGGGTGTCCCGGCTCTGTTCCACCTTGGTGTCCGCCTCTTCCATGTCTTCCTTCAGCGTTTCCTTTTTCGTCGCCTAAAACCACCCCAATAATAACTACCCGGGTAGGTGAAGTAAAAAACAGAAGAAGAGAGAGAGAGCATAACCTACGTGACCCAACAGAAGTAAAAGAAGAAGAAGAACCTACGTGATATCGGTTACTGGCCGAATCCTTGTCCAAGCAATACTTGCGCAGGTTGTGCTTGTGCTTGAGGATGCTGGGAAACTCGAGCTCGAGCACCTTCTGCAATGGGGAGTATACCATCTCTTCCACTTTCATCTCGTGCTCGGCGTAATCTTTGGCGAGGTCGTGCTCAACCCGACCCGCCTCCCGGAGCACGTGCTGGAACAGGACGCACTCCCGTTCGGCGCTCTCCTCCATAAACGCCGCTCCCAACTGGTATTCCAGACATTTTTTCTACAACAGAACGGCGATTATTATGCGACCCAGGGCAGAACTACCACTAACCAGTCGCTTTTCTTTGTCGTTCGTCGGGCCGTTGGGGCACAGCTTTTTATTGATCGACGTTATTGCCGAGCGCAACACGTCGACTTTCTGGTCCGCGATCTGCAGCTCTTCATGGTTCAGTACCTCACTTTTCTCGGCCCTTAAAACGGCATAAAAAGTCAAATTATGATATTTTTAATAAATTTACTACTTATCCTATTAGACAAATGCCTTTGAGTTGGTTCCTACAAGATTTTATTAATAAAAAAAGCCCCCCCTATATTCGAATCTGGCGGCGTAATCATTCAATTAAGCAAAAAAGGTGTTTGTTATTCGTTAACCACTAATCTGACTTATCTTATCAGCCAGAGCGCTACACAAAGGGTCGGGTCCGGGATTTATTTCCATTAATGGCCCGCGGAGGCCGACTTACTTGAGGAAAGTTTGGTCCGCCAACTGTTTAACCCTAAAAAATTGCTTCTTCATGTTAACAGCGGCTCATTTCACTCGTCACGCGACGAAAATACCGACTGATTCAATGGGCGGGCTCATGTTTCTTCCAAATCACCTCCTAATCGCCGCGATATCGACCCCGCGCCAGTTTAACGCCGCACATCAACAAATAATTACCATCGAGCAGGAAAAAAAAAAATCACTTTCTTTTATCGCAGATGCGGTCGTCGTCGACTTCGGCTATCTTCGCGGAGGTCGGGGGCCGGGGCGTCAATTCAATCTATAAAACGTCCTCCGCGTGCCGGTTTCGTCGTCGGCTTTTTACGGATGCGCGTTTTTTTTTTACGGTCGCCGTTTTTCCGTTTCAAAAAAAATCCATGCCACTACGTCCGAAAATACACCTGACGACCACGACTGACGTTTGTCGGCTTCTGACGGATGACGTCACGGTGCTCTTCTTCCTTTTCGAGCCACGGGGCCGCTAGCCAAAAACCTAGCCTTCCACGATAGAAAAAGCGGTTGCTTCGCGTTATCTAACGTGTTATAATATATGGGGCTCGATTTCATTAATTTTATCGCTCGGTGTCGCTTGCAATTAGAATTGGAAACCGGTTAGCGACGCCTTGAACCTGAGATTTATTTTATCAGCACGATTGGAATGCGCCCTGTTGCCGCGCTTCCCGTAAAGCGATAGCGATAGGGTAACGGGGTATGGTCTATTATCTACCACCGCGGCAACGTCGTCTGACATAACCGTAATCGGGAAGCGAGACGACGACAACAATAATAACAACAAAATCGACAGAGAAAGTTGCGTTTATGGCACTCGTTCGCGGGTCGCGGCCGAAACCGGACGCGATTTTTCGAAAATTCAAAGCCGCGCCCCCACCCGCACGTTTTACCACACCGTATCGATAAATAAAAGCCGATAACCGCGAGGGACGCGAACCAGTTTGAATCGTCGGCGCCGGAAAGTGAACGTATCTTGACAAGTCCGCGTTCGTTCCCTTCAATATGGCACTGGACAGGGGTTTGTTGAACGTCGTCTTGCTAGGGCTCGCTTTCATGCTTGTCTTCACCGCGTTCCAGACGTGGGGCAACATACAGGTACGTGACGTCCTCGCCCCTTAATACCTAACATCCGAAATCACAGCCAGAAATACCTCGCAATTATCCATATACTTGATTACCACAGACCACCGACGTGACGTTTCGCGTCCAACGGCCGTGACGTCAGCCCGTTGCCCCCGTCCTTCGCGATGAGAGGAAATGAATAAAAATTTACAAAAACGCGCGCGTTTAATGATCGAATATTACTATAATTATTTATTTTGCCGAGTGTTCCCCACACAACGTTTGACCCAAATTCAAGCCATTATCAACGATTGCGTTATTATTCTTTTTGTGTACTGATCTCGTTGAAAATCGACTATCGGCGGCTATTTCTAACGCGCGGCACCCGCGGGCGTAACAGTTGGGCGCGATGTTTTGTGACAAAAGATTCGGCAACGTCGCCCTCTTGGGGACCGGCTCGATGCTCGTGTTTACCGCCTTCCAGACGTGGGGCAACGTCCAGGTACGTAGTTTCCGTAAAAGCGGCCGGTTTTGAAGGGAAGACGATAAAATTCAAGAACGCGTACTTGGGCGCGCGTGAAACGAGACCTGTATTTTAATTTGCCGCTTGTTCCGTGCATATTCGGAGCGGTCAGCCTCCGCGAAGGCGTGCAGGAAGTGCAATCGACGAGGTTGGCCCGTCGGCGGTATTTTTTTTCCAATCGAATCCGTTTTATTGACCCTCTTGGTCGTAAAACAATCCGATTTTATGTTTTTACGCTGGCAGTAAGGTGATTGTGATTGCGATATCGACCAGATAAGAATGTGGTTCAATAGCAATCATTAGAATAAACCGATACGGCTTTTATATCAGGCGGTGACGTCACCCGTCTCCCTCGCCCTGTTGCCCGTTTTCGACGGGGCCGCAGACTACCGACTTTCCAGTTTTAATGAACGCCCGTAAAGATTTCTACGCGTATTCAAATTGCCGTTTTAATTTACACAACTTTCTACTTAAATCGCATGCCTAAAATTATCATTAGTCGATGTACGGTACGTCCCGATTTCAGAAAACGATGCTCGAGAGTATAAAAAAAGACGAGCCGTCTTTCGACGGCGAGGCCTACTACAGCCTCGCGATCATCTACGCGTTCCTGGCCGTTTTTAACTGGACCTCGCCGTCCGTTATCAGCATGATCGGTCCCAAATTCGCAATGCTCTGCGGCGCTGTGACCTATTTGTGAGTTTAAACGGGACTTACGCGATCCGTGGTCCGTGACTTAGGTCTTTCCGCAGATTGTTCATCATGTCGTTCGCGATCCCGCACACCTGGCTGCTCTACCTTGCCAGCGTGGTGATCGGGATCGGGGCGGCCATGATTTGGACCGGCCAAGGAAATTATCTGGCATTGAATTCGACCGAGGCAACGATCTCGCGGAACTCTGGTTTATTTTGGGCCATGCTGCAACTCAGGTATCTGCTGATCACAGACCACGTAGACGCGATAAATGACGTCATCGCTCTAACGCGTTTGCAGCATGTTCGTGGGTAACATTTTCGTGTACTTCGCGTTCCGCGGCAAGGACCACATCGATGGGACGACGAGGCAAGTCGTCATTTGGACGCTGTCCGCCATTGCGTTGAGCGGCATCGTCGTCATGGTGTTTTTCCCAAAACCGCCACCGAAGAACGTCGCTGACGAGGTGGTCGAAGAGAGGGTCGCGGGGCCCCTCGAAGCGCTTAACCGAGCTCTCAAATTGTTCGTAACGAGGGACATGCTGCTGCTCAACGTCACCTTCTTTTACACAGGTAACGTCCCGCAGGTGACGTCATTTTACGTCCCGTTGTACGGCACGTCGTGAATTTTGTGCTCCGTATCGTTGGGATCGATAATTTTGAGCAATTTCCGATTCACAAAGGAAAGGCTGAGATTAATCTATACAGCCAATAAATTGATTACTTGTAAGCCGATAAGGGATTAGTTTCAAGTGTTTTTGTCTTAATAGCAAAAACAATGCGATGAGCTTAATTTTAAAGTTCAAAATATAAAACCAGCACTACCTACCACTGGGCAGCAACATTTCTATCTTATTAACGTCCACAAATTGGTTAAATATGTCAATAATAATAAAGGAAGTAAAGGAATTAATCTCGCTTTACCACAGAAATTGAAATGTCTCACCAGCGCCACCTATTGTAGGATAGCAACATGTTGGCGGTGCCGTTTATTCAGTGTTTTCGGTTTCGTCAGTTGCAGTTAAATCCATCGTAATTATGCTTAATGACGTAATTAATTCAAGCACTTATGTATAAACGAATTAATAAAGAAATTAATATGTTCGATTGGCGCCATCTATCGCAAAATTTTGGCGGTAACGAGTTTCAATGCTTTTGTTTTCTCCAGTCGCTCACAGATGGCGCTCGTCGAGTGGAATCCATTTTCGCTGATATTAATGCCCCGTTCTGTTATACGCTCAACAAACTGATCGAGTACAATTCGGGGTGTATTTTTTAAAAATTCGTTTGAAATTAAGACCGAAATAATTTTAAAAACCTTTGTGGGATCAGCGTCCACCGGGTCGATATTGCTGGTCTGTGTTCATGAGCGGGACGGTGTACCATAGATGGCGCTCGTAATATAAAATGGGGCTTTATTGATAGCTATGTAATGAGGGATTACAAATATCGCACTTCCCCGATTTGCAGGGTTAGAACTCGGCTTCTGGAGCGGAGTGTATGGTTCCTGCATCAGTTTCACCGAGGACCTGCCTAACCGCAAAGAATTGGTCGGCATCTCGGGCATTTTCATCGGTCTCGGAGAAGTGCTCGGTGCGTTAAAAGGTTGCGACGCGCCACCCCGTTAACTCCATCGTTTCGCGTTCCAGGTGGGGCCGCTTTCGGCATCCTGGGCGCGAAAACCAGGAAATGGGGTCGCGATCCGATCGTTATCGGCGGATTTATCCTCCACTTGGCCAGTTTCTTCGTCATCTTCCTCAACATCCCGAACGACGCCCCCTTCACCGACACCTCCTCCAAGGCATTCATCACGAGCAACGCGATACTCGCCATCATGTGCTCGTTCCTGCTCGGTCTGGGCGACGCGTGTTACAACACCCAGATCTACTCGATCCTAGGGGGCGTTTACGCGGACAACAGCGCATCGGCGTTCGCCATCTTTAAATTCACGCAGGTAGGACGCGATCTCTCATGTTTTGTAGGTTATGTGCGATTCGCGCGGGTTTCAGTCGGTTGCGGCCGCCGCGAGCTTCTTCTATGCTTCGGAGCTCGTCCTCTACGGCCAGATCGGGATCCTGGTGATTTTCGCGGTGCTCGGCACGGCGAGCTTCGTCTGGGTTGAGTGGCGCGCTAAACGTGAGGTGGTGGACGCCGCGTCGACGCCGTCGGTGTCGGAATGCTCGAGCCACGACAACCAGGGGTACGACAAGTCGTGAAACCGCCCCAGCATTAAGTATTACTAAAGGGGCGGCGGTTTTTGCGACCCCAGGTGCGTTAGGGCCCACCCCCGTAAAGGTGGGGCGCTTCGTCGAACAGTGACGTGTACATGTGTTATATTTTATAGTTTTGTTACGAAGGTTGATATTTATTTTGCTACAAAAATCGAAATAAATGCGTTTCGACAGACTAGAAGTTTTGTTTTTTTTTTTAGTCACGACTCCTTTGCTACTATAAACAGGCCGCGTTCTCAGGCGACACACGTCACGGGAAACGACCACTTTAACAAATTTTTACAAGCAAATAAAACTAACCCAAAAAAATGCCATGAACTAGACCATTTTAGCTTTGTTACATTCGCAAATATTGGCAATACTGCTGTCCGCTGGAAGTTTGCGTTCCTGGCTTTCCTTTGGCGATTTGAAAATTTCACGGTATTTATGAAAATGTCCTTCGTTCAACCATGTGCGATTATATTTCTAACACATCCATGTTCTTTATCTCTTTCTGCGTGAGTGAATCGTGTTACCATGTTTCTATGCCTAAAACGTCTTCTTCCTCGCGAGGTTACTGACGAAAGCAATAAACTGAACTTCGAAATGTCAAACCACACACAACAGTGTATACTGTCAAAACTCACGGGGAGGCGTCGCAGACCACAGAACGTGGACCCGCCACGGACCACGGAATCCGACAGCTTAAACTCTAATACCGCCTCCCTTTACTGACATTTTGCATTCAGCGGATGTGTCGCCATTTTTTGCGCCGCTTCTAAAGCGATTAAAAACTCGGGCCGTTGCTTTAAACGCGTCTTTATTCAAAAAACGATCTCGTATTTACAATTAATCGTAATTGAACGTAATAAAATATAATCTGATTCGAATACAAACTCTCGGGCATTTATCACAGTCAAAATACGCACGCGCGACATTAGGAGATCGGCAAAATACATTTATATGGCAAATTCGGCACTAACGAAAGAGTACACACACACACACACGAGTCGCGAAAACCCCGCCCCCCGAAATCACAGAATCACAGACGACGACGACGTCGTCGCCGCCTCCGCTAGCTCTTCAGGACGCAGTGAGCCTGCGCGTTGAGCCGGACGACCAAGGCGGCCCAGTCCTCGAATCTTGGGGCACACTGCAGCGTGAGGTCGCCGAGTTTCTTGCGCGCCATGAAGACGAACTCGCCGGCGCCGTGCGAAACGCCGCAGCGTCGCGGAGCGTTCAACGTCACCGCCGAGTCGACGTCGCCCGCCGCCGCCGCGACTCCGTTCGGCCCCGCCTCCTCGGACGCGGTCGTGTGACGTATCAGGCGCGTCACCTTGACGCTCAGGCGTGACGTTTCGGCCGCGTCGTCGTTCTCGATGGCGAGGATCACACCCCTCGTGACTACGGAAAAGAATTGGTAGTTCGAGGGAACTTGAGAAAATCACGATATTGAAAAGGAAAACGGCGATGGCTAACGAGATATACAGGAAAATTGGCAACAAGGGACGACAAATCCCACAAATGAACTATGGTTCAGTCAACTTTTGATTAATCTAAGTAACATTTGAAACACTCAACTCTTGGTAAGTATCCCTCGACAGCATAATTATTTTTGTTTTTGACATTTGTCGACATTCGTGTCGTGAATTTAGTTGTGAAGTTTGATAAAATTTAAGGATAATTACGATAAATAAGCTTACATTTGTGTGCAATCTATATTCTGTCATATTACTAAGGAGACAGTTAATTTTGGAAATTTGAAAAAATGGCCAATATTGTTGAAGGTAGAAGCCACTTTTTTTACTTTGATTTATGATTATTGACCAATTGATATAGGGTGAAATATTGAAAGACATTACCTTCCTTAACATTCTCAATTTCATTTTAAAATCTAAGCATGAGTACCCCAAAGTATCCCATTTGTTTTTTGATATGTTAACATTGCATTGTTTCGCCTTCTTTTTCCATAATTCAAAGTTTTCGCACGGCCTTGCATCATACTGGGAATGAAAGGTGAACAAATTGAAAATGTGCCCAAAGAATATTAAACAAAGGTAGGTATGGTATGAAATTATTTTCTATTACGGACCACAATTTTACCTAAATTTAAATTCCGAATCTTTAGGTAATAATCTTGTTGCATTGTATGTTAATGATCACTCTTAGTTAATACCATTCAAAAGCAATTGGTCACTGTTTTATATCTATGAATAGACCATACCTAGGTGGAGATCACTTTTAATTTGCAATTGTGGTAATTGTTTTGTAAACAAAATACAGTGACATTTCTGGGGATTAGCCGAGTATTTTCTATTTGCGGTGTCAACTCGCCGCTACGCGTCGCCATTTTGTCTCAATTTTAAGGTTAGGTTAGGAAACTCACCGAGGTCGCTGGTACAGAAGACGTGGGCGAGCTCCGCCATCGAACACGGCCGGCACTCTTCCGCGTAGTCATAGGCGAGCGTCGTCTTCGGCAGCTGCTGCAGGTCGTACTCCAGGTCGGTGACGCTTCGCCTGTAGGTTTGCTCTTCGGTCGCCTCGATGTAGACGGCCGCCTGGCCGTTTTTGCTGTTGAAACACCTTATCGCGGCGGTGGGAGCGGCCTCCGAGTCCGCGTAGAGCGGCACCAGGGACCTGGGGCCCTCTAGGAACACTCTCGCCGTCGGCTTGACGCCGCGAAGCTTGACGCACGCGCGGAAGTCGCGATCGCGACCCGGCAGCCTCAGCAGCACCCTAAGGGCGCCCCTCGGGTACAGCCACTTGATCTTCCCCGCGGAGCATCGGAGGTACACGGGGGTGACGCCCTTGCTCGTCGGCGACGACGTCAACCCGCTGGAAAAGACGCCGATTAATTACTTAAATTTGAAATTTATTAGCGAGGCAAGAAAACGCCCAGGCCAGCTCATTAACTAACAAGAAAAAACAAACGCAAAAAACAAAACCCTAATTTTAGCAATAACTAACACACAAAAAATCGATTTTAACACTTGAAAATTCAAAACACCAATGATTTTCTACCTGTCCTACTATGATTATCCGTCCTAATTAACATCCAGCTGTGAACAAAACAATAGGCTAATTCCCTACGCTTCTTCTTTTATTTCGTCTGGCTTCGAGATTGTTAAACAGCGGACCATAGAACTGACGATAAATTACGTACATTAAATAAACCAACGCGCGCGGAGTAAAATATACCGACGACGGTGACGACTTCGTTGGCTAAGTTCCCGCGGCGCTTTTTGTGGGTCGTAATTAAAACCCGGGGGCCACATGTTACTCTATGACGTAGGCGGCTGCGACGGGAGGACCGAAAACCGAAACCGGACGCCGCTGGCTCGAGACGTTCCCATGACCGAAGAAAAAACGTCTCGATTTCGGCGCTGTAATCGTCTTGCAAATATTTACTTCGACCGATGTCTTCTAACAATTTTCTTCGTAAGAAACGATGGCCTTCGGCTAGTCGTGCCACGGACCACGAAAAATGCTACTCGCGAGATGACGTATTTGACAAAATGGGGGGGCTCAAGAATTAGTAAGAATTCTGACAAGGCAAGTGACGAAAACGCAGTTTAGATTTATGAAAGAAGAAAAATCATTGCGTGCAAATAATCCCGAGCTTTTTATGCGTGTGTGGTGAATAAATACTTTGAAAGAGAGCAGAAGAACCATGTCTGACTTTGTGAGAAATTTTGGTTAGTCTTGAAATTTTGCGACGGTACACAATTGGAGTGGCTATACAAAACATCCTTGTTTTTTTGTGCTTTTGAGGCAACGGAGCTAAAAATAGTCGCTTGGTCATCGAACCTTTGAGTTCGAGCTGATGAAGCAATTTGTGAAGCCTTCAGATCGAGATGAAAACTAAAAGATCGTCCTCGCATAAGGCGACTTGTTCAAGGGCCTTGCAGATATTTCTTTTATTGAATAAATTTTTTTAACAATTTCCCGCTAAAAACGGACATTTGAGCTGATGGTTAGCCTTTTATCGCGAGTTTTCAGTTATTTTTGAGGTTTTTAAAGAAAAATAAACAGTAGCCTAACCTCACTTTTGTTTATCAATGAGTCAATATCGTCTTTTTTATAGAAAGCGGAGATCAGGTGGTGAACCTGATCGATTGGCAGTTGTAAAAAAGATATTTTAAGCAAACTCTACTTTACGCATAGATGAATCTCACACGCAGGACGAAATATTACATATTAAAAAAAATGGATAACAATATAAAATGTACGACATAACCAATGGAGTAGCGTTTTTGCATGACGTCAAAAATGAAGGTCGCGGACTAATTGCAGGGCATACATTTTTTGTCTTTAGGTACAAATATTCTGGAGATAATTAAAAAGTTTTCATGAAAACCTAAAAATATGTACAAGATGCCTATTCCACCACAACAATGCGAAGCAGAACTACGAAATTACGTAATTACGGCGATGTCATTTATTGATTTTTACTTTAGATGTAATTTTGTAACAGCTACCCTTATTTACTTAGTTTTTAGATTATGTTATATTTAAATCAGACTTGTATGGTATATTTTACAAAGGCCTTTTAAATTTTAATTTTTTTTTGTCAAATTTGTGCCCATTCATTCTATTTTTCAGATACTGACTCTTTGTCCAATGTACACACTATCGCAACCCGAACATGGAATTTCATACACTATGTTACTCCTTTTTTCATCTGGTATTTTTGCTTTAATTTTAGAGTTTTTTTTTTTTGCAAATTGTGACCCTTATAACCTATTTTGACGTCATGTTCCTTTAGGTGGTTTCGGATGTATGGTCACGGTATATATTTTGTTTTATTGTTTTGAAATTTGTGGTTGTTTTGAAGACCGTTGTAGAATTTATGAATCCTTTTTTTAAAAATTTTGTCTACTAGATTTTGCGGGTTACAGTTTTCTTTAAGTGCGTGCCTGGCTTTTTCTAAAGCTTCTATTACAACAGATTTTTTTTGGGCGATGGGGTGGTTCGATTCAAAATGTAGATTTGCTTTCTTTAGTATACCAACTCGTTTTTATACTATTTTTAAAGCGGTGCAAGGAGTCTTGGAAGCAAAAATAATCGATTCACATCTGAGAGTCGCAGAGGTTGGATCTTACATAAACCAAAGAATTTATTCTGCAATTAGAAAGTTCTTTACACGTCGCGTCACGGACCGCAGGGTGGTCGCGATCGCCACGGACCACCGAAGGGATCACGGATAACGCTCGATTGTCCGCGAACTTGACAGGGTGCGGCGGCGGCCGCCGATCTTCGCCGGGGCGTCGAACCAAATGGAACACAATGGAGTCGGGCCGCGTGGGTACAATTCAAACAACGATACAGTCGGACGCAAATTCGACTTTAAAGCCGTAGATGGTTAAAACTGGTATGGCGCGGGGACTTGCGTAGGACGCGGGCATAACAATGGCCGCGAGTGGCTCGGGCGCGGCGGCCTACGCCGACATTTTTACCGACCGTAGAAAAAACGACCGTTAAACACGGCCGGTACGTGGGTGTCGCTCGTGTACGTAGTCAAGACGGCCGACGCCCGACGCAAGATGCCCCCGAGGCGGCGACGATATCGGGTAACGCTGTGACGTCACGCGAAAGCGACGCCAACGTTCCAAATTCCACTTTGGCGGTTCTTATACCATGATTTTTTGCTTCTTTCATGCTCAACGTATTTATTTTGGTGACAACGATCAGAGTGTCCCATCTCGGTACTCGAGGTGGCGGTAAAACGCTGCGACCAGCTTAAATATTGAGGAATGACGCCTTCCAAAAGAGCGAAATGAAATCAAATTGGACAAAGGGAAATAGTTATAAGACTACTCTGCTCACTGCTTTGGAGTGACAGAATTAAAAAAAAAGAAGTAGAAGTAATAGACGTTATATACAAGATATATGGTCTGTTCATAGATATAAGAAAGTGACCAATTGCTTTTGAATGGGATTATCCAACGGTGGTCATTAACAAGATTATTACCCAAAGTTTCGGAATTTAAATTCAGGTAAAATTGTGGTCCGTAATAGAAAATAATTTTATACCTACCTGTGTTTAATATTCTTTGGTTTGGTATACTACTTAGTTTAAGCTTATTAGTAATCATTCTTATTTCGTGTGTAATACAGCGTGTGTTGAATCGTGTGCGAATTATGCAAAATATGTGCGAGTCTAGTGTATCTCAGGAGATGCTCCCGCCCAAAAATATAGAAAACACTATTCTATTGAGACCAAGGAAGTTATAAACAATGTTTATTTGACTCTCAATGAACGTGGTGCCAGCAAGCAAGCATCTTTAGAAGAACCGGCCATATTGACGAAAATTCCAACATCAACTGTATAGAAAATTGTGAATAATCCCATTTCAGCGAGGAAAAAAAGAAGCGATGCTGACATTTTCTCGAGTGTGGATGAAAGTGATCAAGATATAATACGGCATAAAATTTACGAGTTATACGAGGAACAAAGCGTGCCTGCAATAGATATCTTTATTAGGAGGCTTGAAAAAGATAAAACTTGTGTTAAATGTGACAGAACTACCTTATGGAAGTGTATTCAACACATGGGTTTTAGATTTAAAAAAGGGTTGGGTTGACTCAACTGATAAGTGTAAAACAAACGCGCCATCAAAAAGAGGTAAAAGAATAACTATTCTGCATGTTGGTTCTAAAGAAGGTTGGATTAAAAATGGACTTTCTCTGTCTGCGAAAAATATTAAATATTCTTCTCTGGATTACCATGAAGGCACCACCGCTGATTTATTTGAAAGTTGGTTTAAAAACAAACTAGTTCCAAACATTCCTCCTAATAGCGTAATTGTAATGGAAAATGCAAGTTATCACAGTAGACAGTTGACAAAAGCAGAACAATCGTATATCCATAATATAGAACAAACAACAATTAGAACAGGCGATGACATTTTATTATTATAATTTTAAGTAATTTAAGTAGCTAATAAAAATAATTGTTAATTTTATTTTAGATTTAAACATAAATACATACATAAGTAAATAAATATTGTTTAGTATGTTTCCTAACAAAACCCCAAATAATTAAATTCTAAGCCAAGTACGGACCTGTTCGGCCATATTTCATTCTTACAGCTTGCCCGGTTCTTTCCTTAATTCGTATCAGTTAGTCACTTTCTTATATCTATGAACAGACTTTACCTGGTCTATTTGGAGTCACTTGGTACGGACATATCCGGAGAATAGATGACCAAGTATGGAATTGGGTTCCTCCAGAAACAAAGAAAAGATGAAGACGGCCAAGAAACTTTAAAGGTGTGCAGGAAGCTATGTTAGCAAGAAAATTAAACGTAAATCCACAAAAAATAAATGTTTGGGCAAGGATTTTGAACCTCACTTCTTCGATGAACATATTGGAAGAGCTCCGTTAGAGGGGCTTCAACAGGATGGTGCCTCACCCCAGTTTGCCCGACAAGTTAGTGCATATTTAAATGCTGTACAGTGCATTATTAGACCTGCAAGACCTCCACATATTACACCACTGGATTTTTCCTCTGCAGATGTTTAAAATCAAAAGTACATAGATAAAAGCTACAAAATGTAGATGGTCTAAAATTTACAATTAGTTAAATTAATCGAAATATCCTAAGTAACAATATTTTGGAAGGGGTTTTAATCGAATTAGCAAATTGTCAATAAGTTAATGGGTAAAAGAGTAAAACAAATGACAAACTTCATTTTGACTTCCCGTTTTGCCTCCACATAAGGAAAAATCAAATTTCAAAATTAAATTTCAACGAAATTCGACGCATTTTATAAAAGTCGCGACTCTTGCCTTTTGACTCACAAAAAATGATTCCCTCCCCCCACAACTCTTC